GTTTTCATAGCTTATGTGCTCTCTGTATGTTCGAAGCATTTCTTAGTGTTTTTTCCAAAGGAGAACAGTGATTCCTGACATTTTATATGAAACCCTCATTTAAATATTACAAAGATTATAAATTCTTAACTGATCATCTCCCTTTGGAATATACAATTGAGAAAATGCCTAGAGACTGAAAGTTACATTGTACAATTTTTTTTTTACGTGAATTTGAATTAATCAAATTGTGTCTACTCACCCTGAAAGAGAGTGAAAGAACTTTACAAGAGGCATTGAGTCCCCACCACAAACTCCAGAGAGAGATTCGAGATGACTCTCAGCAGTGGGTCCAGGGACAGGTGCACAGTGGAGAGGGTCAAGTGGAGTGAAAACAGGTGGAGGGGGAGGGCAGGGGGAGGGGGAGGGAGGGGGAAGGCAGGTGAAGGGGGAGAGAAGGTGGAGGAGGAAGGTGGAGGTGGAGGGTAGGTAGAGGGAGGGCAGGTGGAGGGGGAGGGTAGGTAGTGGGAGGGCAGGTGGATGGGGCAGGTGGAGGGGAGGGCAGGGGGAGGGGGAGGGCAGGTGGAGGGGGAGGGCAGGTGGAGGGGGAGGGCAGGTAGAGGGGAGGGCAGGTGGAGGGGGAGGGCAGGTGGAGGGGAGGGCAGGGGGAAGGGGCAGGTGGAGGGGAGGGCAGGTGGAGGGGGAGGGCAGGTGGAGGGGAGGGCAGGTGGAGGGGGCAGGGGGAGAGTTTGCAGGTGGGGCACTGGTGCTGTGGGAACGCTGGGACCCGAGCCCTGGCTTCCTCACTGTCAGAGGCCTGGCCTGGCAGTCTGAGCTGCCCTTGGATAGGTCTCCCACCAGAGGCTCTGGGTCTCTCCTGTGACCGTTAAGTGCTGTGACCTCAGAGGACCTGCCTGTTCCCCGCACTCTGTGTGTGCCCCGACACCTCCCTGGGCAGAGGAGGACGTGCCCCCGGAGCGGCAGGCACAGTACTGTTTGCTGCTCTGTTCGACTTCCAAGGCCCTGATGGCACAGAGACACCCCGGCCCCTCCCTGATAAATCTAAGTCCAACAGATGCTCAAAGGACCTTTTTTTTTTAAAATGAAAGCCCAAGAAATGAGGCAAAACAGGAAATTCATGGGTCAAAATTGGAAAACAGGTAGAACCAGAGTGTAAAAGTGATTTCTGGAAATAAATGCATTTAAACAGTTAACCATGAGTCAAACTAGTCCAGAAAAATGGAGGAAAGCACAAGTCTCAAAATAACACATAAAGGAGGAAATACTCTTGGGATAAGAAAAAGCTTAAAAGTCACAAGCAACTACTTCGTGTAACTGCACAATTAAGTTAGAAACCCTGGGCAAAATGATGATTTTCAGGGATGTGTAAGATCCAGAGTTGCCAAGGAGTCACCTCCTCCAGGGCACCAGGCCAGGCCTGCTGGCTTCCAAGGGGGACTCTGCCCAGGCTGTGCAGGGTGGACACCCGCACAGCTTCCAGAGCCCCTGGGCAGACGAGGCAGCCTTACCCCTGCCATCTGCTGGAGACAGAGGAAGGCAGAGAGCGCCCTCCCCTCCACCAGCTCTCCTGGGCGCCAACCTGCCCAGCGCAGGCACCAGGGCAAGTCCCAGGCCTGCCTGGGCCTTCTCCAGGGGAGGCCAGCGGGTCTCAGATACACTCTCCCATGAGCACTGCTGGGTGACCCAACACCTGTCCACACCTCAGGAGGGTGGCGGGACTCAGCCCAGAGAAGCCAGACTCAGCCGGACTCAGCCCAGAGAAGGAGGACTGACCGGGTGGGGCTGGCGACGGGCACCTCGACGACTAGGTCCTCAGTGTCAAGCACACTCTCTGGAGGAGTCACAGGTGGTTTGAACCTCGAGGCCCTCACGGGTGTTGCAGAAGCACCAGCAGTTGAGCAGGAACCCCACCACGTTCCCGAGCAACACTAACAAAATCACTCGGCCTGTGGCCCAGCTGGGGGTAGGGAGGGGTGAGCAGGGCTCCCGGGGCCAGCTGACGGGACAGCTCAGGGACTCCTGCCTTTGCCTCAGCTCACCGAAGACCTCTGCAGCAGCGCTGAAGCACCCTCTGGGAGCAATACTGGCCAGATCATCCCGTCCATGTGCAGGCAGGAGTGTGCACAGCAACCCACCACTCGGCACAACCACTTGCACCATAAAAAGTGTGGGAAAATGAGGATAATGTCACTTCAAAACACAGAAACCTCACCCTCCCTATTCCAGGTAACATGTTTGTCATTCTAATTAAAAGGACCCGAAACACGGCCTCTGCAGCTTCCCGGAGGGGAGACCGAGGAGCCCCTCTGCAGACGGCCCCTGTTCCCATAGCCTGTCCTGAAGGTTAGCTGTCAAGCCACTGGAGCAGCCTGTTGGGGGGGCTGCAGACGCGCCGAGCCAGCCGGGTTTCCAGCGGGGGCACAGCACAGCCCCAGAGACGAGCGTCTGCTGGTGGACTCAGAATGCCGAAGGTGGACACATGTGGGTGTCCTCCCCAGCCTCACCTGCCCAGTCCAACAGGATCACGAAGACGGCCTCGGGCAGTCAGGGGGCTTGGCGTCGAGCACAGAGAGCAGGGTCTGGAGCCCGTCCATGTGCCCGATCACCCAGCCACACAACAGCTGCCCCCAGAGCAGCCCAGGCCATCCGTGGTGAGGAGACCAGTTTCCACCCGCAGTGGGCAGAGGAGGGGGCGTCTGGGCTCACGCTAAGCCTGCACGAACCCTGACGCTGCCCAGAGTGAGCCAAGCCACACAGAGGGACGAGCACTGTGTTCCCAGGGGTTGACAGCCAGTAGGACGGGGGGTGCCAGGGCTGGGCAGGTGGTCAGTGCTTAGTCAGGACAGAGTTTCAGTTTGGAAAACAGAGAGTTCTGGAGGCAGACAGTGTGGCGGCTGCCCAAAAACACATGCTTTGCACACCTGAAAGGGAGCCACTGCAGCCTAATGTCACACAGATTCCCTGATAAACACATGGGCACCCACATGAAAGGCTTCAGTTCCAGGGCCCGCGGGTTTCACCAGCCCAGAGGACCTGTGCAATAAGCTGGCTGGACCCTGTGAGGGGCCCAGGGGACAGGGTGGGTGGCCCAGTTCCACTTGGAGCCCAGGCTCCCGATGGCCACCCTGTCCTACAGGAAACAGGAGCTGGGAACCGGCAGGCTTCCCTGTAGCGTGGAGCAGTGGTCTTGCCATCTGCCACTGTCCCAGGTAGGAGGAGAGTCACCCAAAGGGCTTTGCTGGACCCCAGGACCTGGGGAATGCGAGCCTTGACCACTTGGAGCCAGGACCTGCTGGGCACAGACCTGACCGGCCGAACCCAAGCTCCTCCACCCACAGCTACCTGTGCTGAGGGACCTGGGATGCTCCTCTCATGTGGGCAGCATGCGGGCACCGCCACGAGGCCACGGCTTGAACCCAGGCCCTCTGCTCTGCAGCCCTGTGGTCTTCCTCACCAAACAGGGTCTTGGTGGACTTTTCCTGAATCTGAGGGACTCCCATCGGGAGCTGCCAGGTCAAGGACAGCAGTCTCAGCGGAGTCACCCTCTTGGCACACAAGTTCACCAGGCAGCCCAGGGCGAGCCCACCAGCACCAACCAGCACCAACCAGCCCCAGCCAGCCCCGGGCCCAACAGGAGAGGTCAGGGCAGCTCTTTTGCAGCCAAGATGAGCACTGGGCAAGAGGACAAGGGTCCAGCGTGAGCATGAGCAATGACCAGGCCTCCAACCTGCTGAGCAGCCTGCCCCCACCCCCCGAACTCCCACTGTCAACGTCCTGCGCTGTTACCCAGCCTCCCTCTCCCTCTGCTGTGTGACCAGCTCTCTCCAGGGGGAGAAGTGGGCCAGGGCAGAAGAAGCCTTGGCCCCTGCAGCAAGAGGTCACCGAGAGGGTTAGACTTGAAAGACTCCTTTAGGACAGTCACTGGCAGGGACTGAAACCGGCCCCTAAAGCTGCACAGACGACCACAGGCTCCGGCAAATGCAGCCCTCCTTCAGCCAGGTCCACCCGACCCGCGTTTCCACGTGCCAGGCCTTCACAGAAGGCGTGGCCACAGCGGCTGGACCCAGCCTTCGTCTCACGAGTAGGTGCACGAGTGCCACTCTCCAAGCCTGGCACAGAGACATGCCCCAGGACGCCGTCCGAGGCAGAGCAGGACCTTCACAGGAAGCCTCCCAGCAATGCTGCTGCCCACTGCCCACAACCAGAGAACCACTGCACAGGCCAGCTGGTGGGGGCTGGGGACAGCTGGGTTTGCAGCACCAGGGCACGCGCGTAATCCTCTCAGGCCAGCCCCTGCCCTGGCCAGGGGGCACCCGCCAGTCTAGGCACGGGGTAGATGCCGAAGACCGGACAGAGCCTCGTGGTCCAGCTGGGCTCCCCTCCCTGTGGAGCACAAGCTGCTGTGGCCACGAGAAGCCCGGTACTCGGGGTCAGTGGTGAGGGAGGATTCCACGCAGGCAGAATCAGCGGCTCAGCTCTGCTTCCTTGAGGCTGCGGCCTGGCCAGGGCAGCCAGACAGAGGGGCCAGCCGGAGCTCCTACCCCAGGAGTTCAGGCATCTCCCCTCGGGGCTCTGATCCTGTCCCTCAGGCAGGGTGCCACCTTGACCACCAGTAAAGGCTTCATCGCCACCTTCACAGGACAACAGGACAAATTCAAGCCTCGGCTCTTTGTTTTTGAAAAAGGAAGCAAAGACTCCCCCGGGTCTATTCTACTGGGCTTTATGAAGACTCACACACCTTTCTCATGACCCACAGCCAGAGACAATCTCATTTTACCACAGTTAGGTGGCCAACAGGAAGGCAAAAGAGCTCATGTCCTTCAACAGTGGAGGGCCAGAAGTGGGCCTGGGCAGGAGCTGCGGCCACCCAGGCAGCACAGCCCACGGCCTGGACACCATCATACCAGCCATACCAGGCACAGGGCGGTTTAGAATGAGCCTCTGAGTCGGGTTGGCAGTGGGACCTTGGGGTCAGCACGGGTGAGACACGGGGCACCCACCTGGGGACGTGGCCATCTCCTCCGGCTGCTCCTGGACAAGTCCAATGGCATCAGACACAGCCACCTGGTCGTCGGTTTCTTCCCGGGGGGCCTCATTGGGCGGTCCTGGGGAGGGACAGCTGCTGCCTCCAGTGGCCCCGCACAGGAGGAATCTCCAGCAGTCGCACATCAGGCTGTGGGCGAACCGCAGGTCTCCACAGGGGAAAGAGGTGGTGCCGCCAACAGACCTAACAAGTGTCTCTGGACAACGCCAAAATGGCTAGAGGCAGCCTTGTGCATTTATTCTGAAGTGGATTTAGGATGTCTAAAATCAAATTCATTTTTCTGTAACAAATTTCTACTGTATCAATGTTCAGTTAAAGAAGCAACCTCCACTTAAAATACTGAGATAAAGGCTGCTCCAGCCAACGGCACTGTCAGGTTAAGCAAGATCAGCCAGACTCAGAGGCAGTGCTGCTTTCTCTGAATTGGAATATAAAACGAGGGAGGGCAGGAGAAGTGGAGGAGGAGCTACCGCCCCCTTGACATTTAGGCTCCTGCTCCAAGGACACGGAAGTTCCTGCTTCTCCAGGTGTCGGTGGCCAATTCGCTGACCTGGCAAACTTTCTAGACCTGTGCCACTGGCTCAGAGCACTTAAAATCACCCTCAAGTCCTCTGAGTAAAGGAAACCTCCCGCGTTCCAGAACAAACACCGTTGCTCCCCCAGTGGGGATCGGGCACTCCCAGGAGGGCAGCTTTCTGGGAAGCAATCTTGATTTTTTTTTTTTGGTAGGGGATTGAACCCAGGGGTGCTTCACCCCTAAGCTACATCCCCAGACCTTTTTATTATTATTATTATTATTATTATTATTATTATTATTATTTATTTTTAAGGAGAGAGAGAATCTTTTTCTTTTTATTTTTTGAGATGGACACAACACAATGCCTTTATTTTCTTTATGTGGTGCTGAGAATCGAACCGGGTCCCGCCCGTGCTAAGCAAGCGCTCTACCTCTGAGCCACAATCCCAGCCCATTAAAATTTTAATTTTTTAAATTTTGAGACAGGGTCTCACTGAGTTGCTTTGGGTATTGCTACATTGCTGAGGCTGGCTTGAAGTTGAAATCCTCCTGCCTCAGCATCCTGAGCTGCTGGGATCACAAGCTGCACCATACAATCTTGTATTTAAAGATTTAAAGGCGCCCCCGGGGCCACGCACTGCCACGCATCCCCCTGTGGGTGAAGCACACCCATGGCTCCTGGAGCTAGCTGGGTCTTGGTCCCCAGGCTCCCCAGCCAGGCCTCCTTAGGGATGAAGACAGCCCAGCCCAGGAGCCGCTGGTGTCTCCGCCCAGCTCCCCCCAGTCCCTGGCAAGTCCCCTCCACCTCCCCTAGGCACACACGCTGGTCATCCTTCCTCTCTGGCTTCCACCTGGGGGTGGCCCCGAGTCCAGGGAAACTCGCTGGTCAGCAGATCGGACTGAGATCCCGTACTTCACACTCTTCTCAGCTGCCCAGATGACCCCAGGCCTCCTGCTCCAGCACTGTCCTCTTCAGCTACACCCCCACGCTGCCCCGGGCCGGCCAGCGCTCGTGGCTGTTCTGTCGGGGGTCTGCCTGTCGTCGGCCAGGGAGCTTTTATCTTATTTCTTGTTGCTGTAGGTGGACACCATACCTTTATTTCATTTGTTTATTTTTATGTGGTGTTGGGGTCAAACCCAGTGCACAACCCGGGCCTGCCAGGGAGCTTTTTAAGAAGGCCAGTGCTGTGCACCCTGGCCCCCAGGAGGGCACTGGGCGGCTGCTGGCCTGAGAGCTGACTCCACCACAGGCCCCTGCAGGGGGCAGGAAGGAGCCCCCCAGCCTGGCCACACGGAGCCCGTGCGGGGTGCTCCACTGCACGGCAGCTCCCAGGCTGTGTGGTCCCCTCCTCCGCCCTCCCCAAGCCAGTCCCGAGGCCCACGGCCCGTCCCACACACCTGTGGGGGTCCACACTGCGTGGCCCCACAGTCCCCTTGCTAGCTCCTTCCCTCTGCTCCTTCCAGACTGTGCTGGGGTGTGGCGAGCCGGGCTGGGCTTCACCTGCAGCTGCCCGCCCACCTCCAGCTCTGCCTAGAGCTTCTCGGGCCCCAACCCTCCTGCGCTATGGGATCTAACTTGACAGTGACAAGGGAAACATGTCCCCTGGTTGGAAAGACCAACCCTCTCTGTTTTGTACTTTTTTCTTCCCAAATCTTCTCAGAATTTCAACTCTGCAGGCTGGAGCCTCCTTTCATTGGCTCCTACTGGTCACTGCTGATTCTCCAGACCAAGGGGACCCTCACCCTCAGGCTCCTCCACCCTGTGGCTGCCCCCTCATCCACCTCCAGGGAGCACCAAGACCCCAGGGGCTTCCACCACAGGCCAGAGGAGAGCCCTGCTGCTGACTTGGCTGACCTGTGGGCAGAGCGCCAGCTGTCCCCTTCACAGGCAGGCCAGCAGGTAGGGGTCCCAGGACGGGGTTCTGTGTGGCTCCTGCCGGGAGGGTTCCTCTTCCAAGCTTTCTCCTCAGCCACTCTGAACAGCAGCTCCAAATGGTGAAGGACGTGAAGAAAGGGGACCAGGGACCTAACACTACCCTGAATGCTTCCAAGACCTGGCGGGCTGGCAGCTGCATGGGAACCGTGAGTTTTCCTGAAGCCAGGAGAGCCAACTTTGATGGCTAGTGTAGCCCAGGGTAGACAGAGAAGGTGGACTGCCTTACATCCCCTCACTCTTAAAATCTCAGGTTGGCATGACCCTGGGCACCAGACGGCAGCTGTGGCCTGAGGGTTCCTGACCCGACTCTGCGTCCTAGGTCCAGGAGGGGCCTCCTACCCAGCAAAGCTAGACCTGTGAAGATGCAAACCAAAGCCGAGCCATAGATCCACTCATTAGCTCACCAACACTTTTTATGCACCTGCTGTTTGCCTCTATCAGGGCTGCTCCTGTCCTTGAGGTGCGCCAGCACTTAGACTGCGGCAAGGTGCCCTCATGGGGCCACCTCCACCTGTTAAGGCAAAGAGCCATCCTAAGTCACAGAGCAAGAGGCCAGTGCCCCCGGGACCTCTGAGCCCCTTCCACATGGAGGGAAGAGGACGGTGTGCAAGTGGACGGCCAGCAGCAGCCCTCTCTCCTGTGCCTTTGCCCCGTGGGCCACTCAGATGGCTGCTGCCACAGCCACCACTGTGTCTGTCCACTCCTCATCCCTAGCGTCCATCTCCACACCTTCCCCTGCACCCACCCTGTCCATCCTCCTCCCATGTCCACCTCTGCCTCCCACTGCAGAGCCTCCCTGGTGCAGTGGACGGATCTGCTGTGCCTCTTCTCTGAAGACAGCGGGCAGAGGAAGTCACTCCCATGGGCACAGCCTTGCTTTCTCCGTGTATTAGTTTTGTTTTGTTCTTAGTTTTATTTTGGAAATTTCAATAGTGTTCTCTATTTTGGCAGTGGCCACTGGAGTCCCTGAGCCTCCCCAGCTCACGTGGGCTCTTCAGTGGCCAGCACCTTCATGTGGCACCTAGGGCTGCCCTCTGGGGCTGAGTGACCCCGCCCGGGCACTCAGGGAGGAGGGTGTTTCCTGAGTGGGCAGAGCTGCTGCAGCAAGCCTCACGCATGGCGGAGCCGCTCAGGCAGAGCACTCCAAAGTGACCGGACCCCTCAGGTGTCCAAAGGTCTCTTGGTGCCCATGAGTGTGCCAAGGTTCTACCAGGGAAGCAGGGAGCGACAGTACTCTGCAGCTGTCCCGGGGGAGGGCTCCAAACAGGCTGCAGTAGCCTGAAGCCAGGCTGTCACTGGCTGGTTCTCAGGGGACCCATCGTACTGGGCCTGCAAACACCCCAGACCCAGTGTCGAGCTGGGTGCTGTGTAACCTCGCCTGCCCAGGCTCCTCTCAGGGTGCATCCACTCTGCCTTGAGGGAAGGGGGGACACTGTCCCTAACACCTATCCCAATCCCCCAGGGCTCTGCACAGTGTCCTGGTGAACCTGAAAGGTCCTCCGTTCTCCTGGTTAGCTGCTCTCTTTGAGGGGACACCCGTCATGATCCTCAGAACCTCTCCCCCTGAACGGACACGTTGAAGACAGAGGCTCCTGTCACCTCAGTGAGGCAGTGGGCAGGAAGCTGTACTTTAACAGCCGGCCACAGGGCCTGGGACAGGCACTGCTGACCTCAGGCTACCAAGATCACAGTGTGATCAGAGCAGTTCCCCCGAGCACACAGGGTGAGCAGGTGCTCTCCGGCACCCCTGGACGTCATTACTGCTGCATGGAGATGGCCCTTGCTATGCTGCAGCTGACATCCTGCATCCCAGGGGACTCCAGCCCAGTCAGCTCGCCCGGTGGCAGCCAGTGTACTTGCTCTGTTACTCTGGGGTCCCGCATTGGGGCTTCGAGATTTCTCCCCTCCGTTCACGAACGTTAACTGAGTAGATGAACAGGCAGGGACTTCTCCTCATGAGTTGACTGTGGATGTAACCTGGGCCACCAAGACAATGTGCAGAGGTGGTCAGCCTGCACCCAGGGAACCCTGACTGGAGGGCTGGGGTGCGCCACCCGGGGAGGGGGACAGGAATCCTGTATCTTTCCACTCTTCTCTCTCTGCCCAGGGCTCCATGAACCCTGAACAGTTGCCATGGAAACCAGAGGTGCCCCTGAGAGAGCTGGCACAGTTGCTGAGCACCCCCCCCGACCCTGCGGACCCTGTGGACCCTGCACATGCCTGCAGGGCTCTGGAGGCCCCAGAGGTTGGGGGGGGTAGGGTCTCTCCTGAGCTGCTTACAGAGGCTAAGGCAGAACTCCAGAAAACAGCCTTCGCCATGAGCTGGGGGCGGAGACCAGCTTTGGGACAGTCCCACGGCCCAGGCCCAGAGGCACCTCCCTGGGCAGTGGTCTCCTGCCTGCCTGGGGGGCGCTGCCTGCCGGACGCTGGGTGCTCCACCAGCAGCACCTTGCCTTGTGGCCAGCAGTCACACTTCCTGGGCCTCCCACGGCCACCCCTGCACATCCTGCTGGCCCCTTAACCCTTCCCGCTCAGAGCGCCTGCTCTGCCCGCTGAGTTAGGGGCAGCACTGGCCTGGACTGGGGTGGCGGGGCAGTTCCAGGGTAAGTTGAGGCTGCAGATGGTGCTGCCCCCGCAGGGCTTGCATCATGGGGTGTGAGTTACCCGCAGGAGCAACAGCAGCTCAGGGAGGGGACAGAGGGAGCTCAGCAACACCTACTGATTAAAGAATGACTTCTAGCAGGACAGAACTTTGGAGCAGGGTGAGAGTGACATTCTTATTTTTAAACTGCAGCACCTCTTCCTGGCTGGAAAGCAATGCAGCTAAAAGCCTGTGGGCCACCAGGCTTCCCACTGTCCTGCTGCCAGGGTCCCGACTGGCCAAGCAGAGCAGTCCAGGAGCCGCTTGGAGCCTGCATCCACACTGCCCTGAGGGAAGGGGGAACACTGTCCCTAACACCTGTCCCAATCCCCCAGGTGCAACTTGTGTGTGTCAGGGAGCTGCAGTGTGGCTCCTGGAAGTGCCCAGGGGACACTGAGGAAGCCCCACCCCTGAAAGGGACACCTCTCCAGGTGTGCCAGGGTTCCTCCCTCCAGGTGACACTGAGGGTGTGGGAAGAACCCCCACCCTTAATCATGGGGAGAGGCCTTTGCCAGGGGCACACGAGGGAGCCGCAGGTTCACGGGGGTGGGGGGGCGGAACCGCCGGGAGAGCGGGGCAGTCCTAGGACCGCCCGCGACAAGAGCACAAACCCCCGGGGAGCGTCCCCTCCCCCGCCCGGACCCCTCCCGCCCTCGCCCGCACACCTGTCCGCGCCCAAGGTGCCGGTGCGCCTGGATGCCGCCTGCCGGACCCTGACACTGGGCGGGAGGGGCAGGGGAGGGAGCTGGGGACCACGGGGGACCGCGAGGGACCGGAGGTGAGAGGAGGGGAGGGCCGGGGCGGGGCCGGAGGGCGGGGTCGGGGAGGGGAGGGGGCGAGGCCGGGGAGCAGGGCGGGTCCGGAGGGCGCGGAGGCGTCCGGTGCGCGCACGGGGCCGGGCTCCCCGGGCGGGCATGTGGGCTAATGCTGAGGGGGCACGAGGCTCAGACCGAGCGGCACAGCTGGACGGCTGGACGTGGGGTCTGCCGGCTCCGTGCCCTGGCCGCCTGTGGAATGGGTTCCCATGCTCTCCAGGGCCTCCCCTCGGGGCTGGCCAGGAGGGCGTTGCGACTACTTGAAGACCCTCGCCAGCTCCCCACACCCCTTCCCTGCTGCTTCCAGGGAAGTCGCGAACCTTCCACTTCAATGCTCTCACGCCAGCGAGGGGTCCTAGGAGAGCTGGGCCCTCAGGGCTGCTCCCACCCAGGTCCGCGGTTTGCACCTGCAGAGAGATGCCAGCGCCGGCTGCCAGGAAGTGCGCAGAGCCTCACGGTATTCACCGGAAGAGCTCGGGTCCACCGGGGTCTCAAATGGCACGCTGCGCTTTGGTGCAGAGCATCTCACTGTGCAACTCAACTTGTTTACAAGAAAACAAAAAAGAACCCCACCAGTGACCCCCGTGTCTGTCATGGCTCAGAGGAAGCAGTCCATGAACTGGAATCTAAGAGTGAAGTTTTGGAAGCTTGGACCCGGATAGAAAGTCCTGAGTTCCAAGCGGGAGACAGCACCTCTCCCCCGTGGGCAGAAGCAGGAAGCTGGGAGCTGTTTGAATAAACCAGAACAGCTCTGCCAAGAAGGAAGTAAACACCAACCCAGCAGGTGGTGGAGTGTTGTGGGGGCACGTCTCCAGGTGTGCCAGCTGTGCGTGAGGTGCAGGGCTAGACAGGACAGACACCCCCCTGGGATGGGGCACTTTTATAGAACACCACCTTATTTCTCAGTACCAAAGCCCCTCTGATAGCCCTTCTCTCAGGCATATTGAATTCCACTTAACACAGCAATAGAAGCCCATGGGGGCAGCTTGCAGGGTCCTCCTCAGGCCCTTCAATTGGCTAGTGCTGCATGGCCAGTGGCCCCACCGAGGGCCGCCATGCAGGCTGTGCCAGGCTGAATGTGCAAGGAGCCCCTGTGTCCTGCACCCTGCTTTGCAGCTCCCACTTAGACCAGGGCTGCACAGTGACCCACTGGGAACAGAGGAGCCCAGAGCAGACCAGAGCCCTGAGCTCCCCAGGAGAGCTTTCTGCTTTGGGACCTGGTGACCCAAGCAGTGCAGGTGGGGAACCCCCAAATTTCTGCCTCTTCAGAAAATGTCTGGCTGAGTCTAAAGATGAGGTCGTTCAAGACCTCCTTTAATTCAGGCAAGAGCAAAGCCCAGCTCAGCCTGTCACCCCACTGCCCCGCAGCCCTGCTGGTGTCTGGACGTTAGTGGACTAGACAGCTGGAGGGACCTGCTCTGGTCTTGCAGCTGCTTGGGTTAGCCGACCTTGGAACCCACTCCAACCTGCATCTGCAGCTTTCTAAAACTTTAAATTACTTGCTTTGGCTGCTTTGCCATGGAGCTACCTCGCCCCTCCTTTTTTTTAAAGGTGAAGATAACATTAAAAAAGTTTATCATAGTAAAAGTTGATTTCAGGTCAAGTTTATCATACAAACACTGTTGATGGGCCAGACCTAAAGCAGAGCACACACTCCGACCTGCTGGGTTCCCATGAGTTTCTGAGATGAAACTGCTGAGGCTGGCCTCGAGCTTCCCGCTTCTACCTCCCCACTGGGGGGACGACTGGCGCGTGGTGGCGCCCAGCCATCTACAAGTTCTGAGTTACAAAAGACCTTTGACAGACACAGGCAGGATGGGCCCAGGATGGAGGCCAGCCCTCCTGCTCCTTCTGTCCCTGGGTGGTGCTTACTGGGCGGGAGCCCATGTGTGGGCTGGAGGGTGTGCTCTGCAGGGCCACCTTTGGGCCAGCCTCTCCCAGGAAGCCAACCTTCCTTGGCTGGCCTGTTCCCTACTCTCCCCTAGTCCCAGGAAAGTACAGCTGTCCTTGCCAGAGGGGGGACTGCCTGTGAGGTGGAGGTTGCAGGACTGCACCTGCAAAGGCCCTGGAGCCTCCACACTGGCAGCCCCCGAGTGGCCAGGAGAAGGTCTACGGCGGCAGGCCAAGGAATGTTCCAGATGCGGTCACCATTGCAATGAGTGAAAAGGCAGCTGGACTCGTGGCCCTCCAGGGCCAGACAGCCCCAGGTCTAGAAGTCCACCCAGGGAGCCAGGGGCCTGACTGGGCCTCCAGGACGTCTGTTCGCAGTGGAGCCCTGGCAGGAGGTTCGGGGCAGGGGGCTCCACACCTGGTGGAGGTGAGGATGCTCTCAGGTGAACGGGGTGCCCAGACCTGGAGGGGTCTGCTCTGCACCTGAGGAGTTCTGCAGGCTGCAGAGTACTCAAGGGTTGGGGAGTCCAGGGTTTGGAGAAGAGTAGCAGGGTCGAGGGCCACGGCACAGGCGGGGGTTGGTGAGCGCATGGTGAGAATGACCCACTAGCTTGAGAAATCCCGACCCTGGGTTCTGGGTAAGCCCCTTGTGTCCTCCAGACCTGGGAACAGAGCTGTCACACTAGCTTTACATGCTAGCCATGGAGGTGGCCCCGGAGGGGATCAGCATCAGAAGAGGTGCAGACACCCCACAATACACAGGCGCGTGCCGGGCAGCAAGGGGCAGGGCTGACTCCAGTCTGCTTCTGCCTCACCCTGTGCAGATGCCACCCGAGAGTGCCTCCCCCAGCTTCCCTCAGCAGGACACCTAAGGACAACTCATGGGACTCTGTGTATTTGTAAGGAGATGGAAGCAGATTTTTTTGGTATTTATTGTGAGCAAATTCATGTCTTCTGTTTGGATAATCTACAGAAAAATCCAATATAATTAAGATCATCAAGTTGTACTTTTGCTACAGAAATAAAAGTTAAAAACAGTAGCATACAAAATAAACTTTACAGAAATGTCTGATTTGGTTTAAATCACAATTTAATTTTTCAAAGCAAGTTAACGAATTATCAGCTGAATGTTACTGTTTGGAGGATGATATATGTTAAATGTACCTGCCACATTTGATAATTTAAAAAATAAATTCCAGTGTTTATGATGATGACAGCTATAGATACCGTTCACATTAAATACATTTTTGAAGATTCTCTCTTATTACATTACATAGTGAATGGGCATTTTAAATGGTAATGCAGACATGTTATTTTAAGTCAGAGACAATATAGGCATATTAAAATTCTGAGTATCCTGATAAAGTAAAAAATAAAGCTATATAAATTGATCTTAAGATTTTTCTGCAAAAGTAGAATCACTTTCATAATACTTCCAACATACCTTCATTAAAGCTTTGTTTACACAGCATTAGAATGAGTTTCATTCCCACTCACCTGCCTCTGGTTAAAAAAAAAAAAAGATTGCATTCGCCAACTGATATTTTTCCTGTTTTTAAAGTAACAAATGGGCAATCTCCAAAAGAAATGTAGAACGCGAGGACCTGTAGTTATACTGTGTTGTCAATAAATAACATCGAGGTGGAACAAGAGTGGTTGTTAGTTCAGCGCCGGCCGGTGCAGAGCACACGGACCTGGCGGTTCCAGGACCCAGGGGCGCGCTTCCTCTGGATCCGACGCTGGCTGGTGCTTGGCAACTGGAGCAGCTCCCTCACCCCCACCCCGGAGTTCTCCAGGCAAAGCTGCAAAATGCTCAGAGGCCCACTGAGAGCACCTGCCGTGGGTGCCCAGGGTCCACTCTTTCCAGTTCAGCATCCAGGCCTCCTGGCCGGCGTAGGTGTCCTGGGCATGGCCTTTGGTCTGCTTGTGCTCGGAATGGGTGGGCGGGACTTTGTGGAAGAAGGCGCTGGTGTGCTCAGAAGCACAGGGGCGTGTGTGCAGTTCCCGTGGACCTGGGCCCTGTTGCTCCACCGTGACTTGGGGCTGGACCTCCCTGGGAGGCGACAGCATCCTAGTCCAGGCGGGGAGTCGTCCGCAGGCCCGTGTACCTGCAGGGCAGCCTCATTTTTGCAGAGTGAGCCGTGCGCACGCGAGAGCTCGTCTTCCCGGCCAGGCCACAGCCCCTCATGGGAGCCTCAGAAGGGGGCAGGGTGCCCAGGATGAGAGAGCAGTGTGGGTGTGCACACACACGTGTGAGCTCACACATAGGCATGGGACGGGAGAGAATGTGTGTCGCCAGACGGCTGGCAGGAGCTGACGTGCTGTGTGCAGACGGGGTGTGCATGACCGGTCATCCTCACAGGTGATGATTCCTTCCTTCACATGGCAGGAGATTTTCAAAGCTACGAAAAATGCTCACTGCTGGCGTTCCTGCTTTAAAGTTACTGTGGCGGGAAACGGAGCCGAAGCGCAGGGCCCCTTCGTGGGTCTCCTCCTCCGTTTCAGCCTGTGCCTGTTTCCATCACTAGACACATCCCTTTAGTAACCTCCCGGGAGTAAGACGACGTTGCGAGGGCCTCACACCCAGACCCGAGGCTCCACTCAGGCAGAACAGGGTCGAGCCGACCAAACCCTCAAGCAGGAATCTCCTATTTTTAAGGCTGAGGGATGGAAATTAACAACAAAACAAAACGGAAAGCAGATGACACTGCAGAGAACCGTGAGGGCAAAGAAGAGCAAATCATCGTGACCTTCACATGCCCCTGAACTCACTGCTGCCCAGAAACACCAGGAAACAGAGACATGGAGAACCAAATCTGATCCAGAGATTCACATTCATCAGAAATTGGAACATACAGTGGAATTCTCACCAGAACAGAAACGTAAAGTGGCCACGATTCCACGAACTTAGGCATTAGAGCTCTAAAAACATACTTTAAAAGTCAGATATGTTAACAAAGGATAAAAGAGATATAAAGAGCTATGAAAATAGTTCAGCGCAAAGGCAACTTCAAGATCTCTAAAAAAATACGATACAAACAATTTGTTGATAATCGTTTGGGGAGCCTGTGCCCTGCAGGTGTCACGTCCAGACCCTCCTGGGCTCTTCAGAAGGGCTGCGACGGGCACACACCACTGTCTGCGGGTTAGTGTGGGCCCTAGCCACGCTTGGCTGCCACAGGGGTGACACGGAAGTGACTGGGGTGAGAGCAGGACAGCGGCAAGGGGCTGGGGGGCACGACGTCCTCTGTCCTCAGCCGGGGAGGCCACCCCTCTTTGGTACAGTGTCCTGCTCTGACCTATCCACGGTGGGGCCACTGCTGTGAGACTAAGGGTTGAGCAGGTGAGACCTCACACTGCCTGGGAACCGGCACTCCCCAGACCTCTGCTCTCGAGCAGCTGGGGAACAGCATGTCCCCGTTATGGGCCACTGCATGGAGGGCACTGGCCTTCCTCCCTCAGGCTGAGGCTCCAGCCTCCAAGTGTCTCCTCTAAGACAGGTCCACCCAGGCCATCAGGTAGAGTCTCCCAGAAACAGACCACAGCCCAGGTAGCAGGAGCTCCGTAACACAGAGCCCCCATCGCCTGTCCCCTCCAACACACACCTTGGCCAGGTTCCCAGGCAGGAGGGCTGCGAAGGACAGCAGGAGCCACCTGGGGAGGCGTGGAGGGGCTGCTAAGCAGCATGCCCGCTGGGACTGACTGGCTAGGACAGGCTTCGGAGGACCACACCTCGGTACAAACGGCAGGGGTGGGTGTCTGACCGCCAGCCAGACCTCTCCCTGCCCTGCCCCGGACCACCACCTTTCCCCAGCACCCCGGAACCCCCTTCCAGGAAGGCGAACTGGCAACTCCCACGTGGGTGTGTGGCAGCCAGGGGTGCACACCACGCAGGCTCACGCCATGACAATGTCCTCCTCCAAGGGCAGCTGGTGACAGGAAAGGGGACCTGGAATCCCTGCCAAGCTCCCTCCGCAGGAGACTCAGATGTAGTCAGGAACAACTGCTTCTTAAGGTAGTGGGCAACTGGCCGGGCCAGGCCGCAGGGCCGGGAGGTGGACACGCCCTCGGGGTCAGGCGGGGCGTCCAGCCTGCGGCACCAGGGGGGAAGCGCAGAGGGGCCTGGTGCAGAGGGTGGCATGTGTGAGCTGGACGGCTGTGGACGGGGGCTGGACATGGAGGTGCAGACTAGAGGACGGCTCTTCAGGTGACAGGACACAGAGATGGGGACGGGGCTGACACAGGCCTGGGCGAAGCCAGCCTGCAGCTGTAGTGCAGAGGAGGGGCCGAGGCGAGGTCTGCGTTCACAGTCCAGCTGGCGCTGGAGGCCATGGGCAGGGGACGAAAGACTGTGGTGTGCTTGCCCCAGAGAGTGGCCTGCGGCCAGGGCTTCGCCTCCTTGGGCACCAGGAGAGGCGCACGAGTGCACAGGCACCAGCGAGCACAGCTTGCAGCGCTGGGCCTGGGCACTGTCCACCGTGGCACGGGCTCTGAGCGGGCCCCAGCACCCACGCCTCAGGCTGGATCCACAGCAGTTGCCGGAGAGGCCCCGTAGGGGGCACAGCGCCCCGCCCCCGGGAGCACCCCGCCTGCCTTCCTAGGCAGAAGTCGCCCAGGGCAGCCAAGGGCCTGGGGCTCTGTGCACCTGAGCTCTGCAGAGAGGAGAGAGGGACGAGTCTGGAACCACCGACTCCTGTGGCTGCGAGCTCTGCCAAGACACAAAACGGGCAGTCAGTTCAGGAAGCCCGGGAGCAGCCCGTGCTGACCCGAGGCCCTGTCCCCACAGAACTCCAGCCCAGAGGTGAGGGTCCACCCACAGCAGCTGCCACAGAGGCAACGTGTCTGTCCACGTCTACAACTACAAACCTCTGTTAGCAGGCCTCTCACATCCCAGGGAGAACCACGTGGGGGGACACAGGACACACGGTGGTGCCTCCCAGGCCCTCATGATACGCGGTGGAAGCACAAAGGCCCCAGAGACCCTCAAACCTGGAAGTGCTCCCCCCCCAGAGGAGGACAGGACTCCCCTGTCCAGGCCAGTATCTAGCCCGGGGGACCTGGGACGATGGCTGGCCTCCCCCACTCCCTGGCCCTCAGCCTGCTGTTACCTGATGGAGGTGGCCGTGCTGCTGCGTGACCACCCACTGAGGCCCGCGGCACAGACTGCATCCACGCAGCTGGCGGGGAGGCCAACGGTACCAGTCAGTCCACACGAGGGACGATGCCCGCACAAAGCTACCTTTAGGTGGGGGCCGCTGGCAAACATGGGGCTCACTGCAAACCCCGAGTCTGAAGTGCTGGACAACGTGGAATCTTTACAGCCCAAGACCAGCAGATATAGCTGCTGGACAATGGTGGTCAGCTGGGAGCCACCTGGGCTGTGTCCAGTGCGACTGAGCAATGCTCCACTTCTGATGTGGAACAGGATCTGTCCCGACTCGCGCCCGAACTGAGCTGCTTCCACCACTGACCAGGAGCCAGCTCCTGTCTGCAAATGCTGGACATGGACAGTCGACTGCTTGCATGCTGGGTGAGACTGGCCGTGAGTGTGTGTGTGTGTGTGTGTGTGTACACGCGCACGCACGCATGCGCCCTACCTGGTCAGCTTACTCTCAGGCATGTGCGCTCACCTGGGTGGAAATGCACAGGTGTGCAAAGGGTGTGTTCCTTTGTATTGTGAACCTCTGTTATCAACAATGGCACAGCACAGCAAAACTTTGGAGGAAGAACAGACAGTCTGAGAGTCACAGCACACGGGCCACGCCCAGTGGGCAGCGGCCACACCGTTACCTAGCGTGGAGCTAATGACGCCGCGGCTGCGGTAAGAGGTCCTTCAGCAGTGGCCTGTCGCTGCTGGGCACGGCATCCACGGGTGCTCTGTGCTGCATGCTCCTCTGCAAGGCGAGGAAAGACATGACGCCGCGGCCTCCGGGGGGAGGGCTACACCCTCTGGGGGAGGGCTGCGGGTGGCCCTGCGCATCCTGGGCCCTCTGCCAGGGAAAGGCACCGAGTGCACCGTGCAACTCCTTCGGAGCCAGAGGTGGCCCCAGGGCTGCTGCTGGCAGAGTGTGGTGGCAGAGCAGGACGGGAGACTGCACAGGCCACCACAGTCGGTCTCAAGGTCCTGCTCCTACAAGACAGCTCATGGGTGCTTCCAGAACCCACGCTGCACCTGCCTGCTCCCACAGCGTCCCTGCTGCTTCCTCAGCAGAGAGAGGCACTGCCAAGAACTGCCAGGGGGCCGAGGGCATGCCTCCACCTGTCCCATCGCCTCGGCGTCTTGGCGCCTCCCACTCCAGGTCAAGAGCCCGCGTCTGGGACGATTTCGCACCCAGTCTCGCTAGCTCCTCGGAGATGAGGAAACGGACGTTCGAGAGTCAAGAACCACAAGGTCTGAAGGCAGGAGTCCAGGCAGAAGAGTGAACAAAGGAAGGACTGCCGCCCCTCACAGGTGAGGGGTGCAGAACGAACCCTGGGACGGTGCAGAGGCAGTGCCACACGGGCACGTGCGCAGTGCACGTCGCTACGCAGAGTGTGCCAGCTGGGTGCTCCACACAGGGACATGGGAGAGGAACCACCTGTCTGAAGGGCCAAGCAGAATGGGCCAGCAGAATGAATGTTGGTTCCTCCAAAGTTTTGCAGGATGGCGTGGTGTCATGGCAACAGAGTGCTCCTCTTTGTGGCCAGGAGTGGGTGCCTGGCCAGAGTCTGGCCCTTGCTTGTGCTCTGAAGCAACTCGCTCCTAACCAGCTGCGTGGACAGCTGGGACAGCTGAGTCTGAGTTGGCCTGATCTAGCTAGTTTTGTAGTCCCCTCCTGTGACTCCCTGTAGTGTCCCTAATAATGTCATCTGAAATGCTGTCAAGTATGTAGAATGTGAGCTGCAATCATGTCATTTGTTTTAACAAAGTGTGACATGACCCAATTAGAAAAACTTCGTTTGCCATTATTTACTTGACCTTAAAAAATCTAACAGCTGAAAGTGTGTAAAAGATGAACTGTCACTAAGAGGAAAGAGACCTTTTCCTTGCCGTGGGATCTCCCACCTGAGCCAGGGCAGGGGTGGGGGCCCCGGCTGTCCTGACTGTCTCTGGTTTGAGGCAAACACAGACGCTGCTCGGCTTGCTGACACCTGGGCTCTGGAGGCAAAGGCCTTGGCCAGTGCAGCTGACCGAGAAAGCCACGTAAACGGCCTGCTGAAAAGGCCAGTGCTCAGTAGAGCACCCGAGAGGCTTTCTCCGGAACAATCAGGCCTTTAAAAACATGAGGAATTTGATAAAGACGTCCAGCATCAGCACGGCTGTGCCCTGTGACCCTGGGGGCCCTGAGCACACCGCTCATCCTGCCTCCCTCAGTTTCCCCACAGCTGTGTGGGAGGAGGTCTTCTGTCCATCCCCCAGGGGCCAAGGAGGGCAGGGCCATGCTGAGACAGTCTGAGGAGCGTCTGGGTGGCTGGTGCTGAGTGGCTGTATCTGAGAACAAGTGTGGACCCTGCCACTGCTAAGGACCCCAGGCAGGCCAGCGGGTTGTGCTGGGGGGAGATACAGCTCACGGTCAGCAAGTCACCGTGCTTCCTAACGTGCTGGCTGGCCTTGACACCAAATTCACCCCGCCTCCTGTGGCCATGATCCCAAGCATGCAAAAGGCAGAGAAGGTCACCTGTTGGTCAGAAACTCAGACCGCTGGAGGTCTGGGAAAGCATAAAGACGGTGGGCTGCTCAACAGAAAGGCACTGGTTCCTAGCCTGCCCGTCCCGCGGTCCGGAGCCCACACACGGGAGAGGTTTGGACAGGGAGTGGTTATGGACGCAAAGCAGGCAGAGAAGGGAGGGTGAGGGAAGGAGAGACAAGAGAGCGGTGAGTTGGTTACAGCACACGAGTCCCGTACGCTCTCGGCCCAGCAGCCGACCTGAGCTGCGGGGCCGGCCGACGCCCGCGCCTCCTGCCTCACGCCTCCTGTGCGGGTTCAGGTTGCTTTCAGTTGGGTGCTCCTCATGGGCCAAGAGGCCACTGTAGCCCTGCCACTGCTGGCTGAGGAGGTGGGAAGGTCCTCCAGCAGGCGGCGCCTGCCAACTCTGCCCGACTAGGTGTGTCCAGCCAAGCACCTCAATGTCCGCCAGCACCTGCGGGCCAGGCGGCATAGCTGGGGACCCAGAGGACACTGACTGGAGCCTGCTCTCTCGTGGTCAGCCTGCATCTGCTGTTTCCCCTATGCATGGACATGTGTGTCCACCACACGCTCTGTGCGGGGTGTCGTCACGAGCACACGTGCCCCTGCATGGGACCATCAGGGACATGTGTGTCTCAGAGCACCACTGCTCGAGACCCGAGCTCGGCTCCCATCCAAGGGCAGTGCCTCTGGGAGGACACATGGCCTCAGTGTGGACAGCCATTGTGCTTCTCCTCCCATGAGCAGGAGGGTCCAGGCCCTGTGTTCTGGTGTTGGAGGTGGCTTTGTCTCGGAGATACTGAGGTGATACCACAGCCTGTGCGTGTGAGCTGGACCCCAAACCCCTCCAGGTCCTGGAGTGGCCCTCCCTACATCCTCACTGATAGGCCACAGACCTACACGGCTCGCAGGACGCCCACCACTGCTGGGCAGAGGCCCCTGTCATGGCTGTTGGCACTGACGTCACCCAGGGCAGCAGGAGGCACAGAGGAGGGAGGCCTGGGCTGGTGGCATTGGTCTCAACGTGTTAAGATAGCAGAGTCCTGGGAAGGTTCACAATCAGGGCCCCTTCAACTGCTGGGCTCCGAGGTGGGCAGGGCTGGCCTATTTCCCATCCCAAGTAGGGCCGCTGGCACCCCTGGGGGTGGGCATCTGGGCCGTGGAGGGCTGTGGGGGACCGCGGGCCAGGCCGCTGTGCGTTCCTCTGCCGTGCACCTCTGTGTGCCATGAGCTCTGCTCCCCGCCAAGGAGCTGTCTTGCCCTACCACGGCACAAGAATCATTGGGGGCCCGGGGGAGCCTGTCCCAGGGCCCACCTCACAGAGGTGAGAAAGTTGCAGGGAGGTAACTTGAAAATCTGTATTTTTAATGACTCCCAAGGGACTGTGACCCAGCTGGCCCCTAACTGAGGGTTACCTTCTGCCCTCACTGATGGCTGGGGTCCTGGAGAGGCTGCACAGGTATGGGGCTTGGTGCCTCCCACCCTCCCGCAGTCCCAGGGAAGAGGCCAGTGCTGAGGTTACTCTGGAGGGGGACAGAGGCTGAGTCCTGAGCTCAGCTTCCTTTCTGAACCCACAATTCTGCGTGTCGGCCAGTTTGGGAGTGTGGAGAAAAGGTAGCCCATCACCCAGCAATCCTTCATACAACGTCAACATGTTGAGCCAAATCCACCTTAAAAATGTAATCTAACCTCTAAAGTAATGATTAAATTCAAATTTCTGTGGATTTACAGAAGATAGTTTATCTTTTCTATTAATCTTTGTTCTCTTTCTTCTCTCAGCTGATTGTTTAGGTCAAATCATCAAATTATACATTGATCATCTTGAATTTTTCCTAATTTAAAGTTTGAAATCATGCATCATTATGAAGCTGATTGGCAAGATCTGGGCTGACCTCTGAACAATCCTGCTACTAACACGTCCCAATCGTAAAGCCAGGGTCGCGTACCGGCCTGGGTGGACTCCGTACCTGGGTCCTTTCCGTCGCTGTCGGCCACAGCTGCCTGCACAGGACTTTCTTGAGGACATCTGGGAGGAGGCTGACGGTGATGAGCAGGATGATGCCCAGCCAGGCGGGCCCACTGGACAGCATGTGCATGAACACGTAGTACATCCTCTGATAACTGAGGAACGGCCTGCAGACAGGGGACACAGCCAGGGCCGTCAGCCCTCTGGGAGGGACACATGGGTCCCAGCGGTTTCCCACGCCTGATGAGGAGCTCGTTTGCTCTGGAGAGTCCGGCTCCTGCTGTGGACAGCACTGGGCAGGGCACCAGCTGCCTGCTCTGGAGCGCTCACGCGAGAGCAAATAGGGCAGGACCTTCCACAGCACAGGGTCCTGGTGGGAGGGAGGGCCATCCCAGAGGGAGCCAGAAGTCCCTGAAGTTCAGCTTCAGGACAGCAGAAGAAACAAGAGCAGAGTGGCGACCCCTGGGCCTGGACACAGCCTGCCCCTCACCACAGAGGTGGGGCAGCCCTGACCAGCAAGAGCTCCTGCCACAAGACCCAGCACGGGACGAGGCTGGATGTCGGGGTGACCCTGGGCGTCTGCAGGTGGAGTACAGGGACTGCGCACCCATTGGCCAGCCCGTCGTGACCAGGGCCCTGCTTTCAGGTGGTCTGTGTGTCCTGCTCCGTGGTGCAGGTGCCGCGAGTGGGAAAGGGAGAGGCAGAGCCCACCTCCAGCTACAGCCGATGGGCACCTCAGGTGGCAGGGCTGCAGGTGACAGGGGACAGAGTGGAGTCCTAGGGCACAGAAGCTGCTGGAAAGGCCGGGGTGGGCAGGGCCTGTGCCAAAAGGCAGGAAGTGAGTGATGCGGGAGCAGAACCCAGTTTCAGGCGCACTCCAGCGGAGGCACCCTCTTCCTCCACCCGAGGGCCGCTGAACTCTGGCCCGGCTCTGGAGGGCTGCTGGAGACCCTCCCCAGCTCACTGCTCGCTCTGCCACTGGATCAGGAGCCTGTGCTGCCAGGAAGGAGGGGCTGGGACAGAGACTACAGCTCCTGGGCAGCAGATGTGGACCAAGGGGGCTCTTGGGCCTCCCAGTGAGGCCAGCTGCCCAGGGGAGGGGGCTACGCAGCGTGGCCATCTTTCCCTGCTGCTACGGCTGACCCCTCTACCCGCTCACTCCCCTGCGGCCGCCTCAGCTGCAGTGACACTCCCTCCCCAACTCCCTGACTTCCCTGGGGCGACAGGAGCTGCCTGTCACTTGTGTGCACAGCGTGTGACGTGGTGGGACTTGCACACAGCCTCTTGTGTTGAGCAGTCCCTGAGCGAGGCCATGTGGCGGTGTGCACTCTTCTGGGCTCAGGGTAGGTCACAACAGCATGGGGAAATCACCTCTGCCCTCCAGGGCACAATAGGGCCCTGCCTGCTGCAGCGCTGGCCTGTCCCCACAGAGCCTGTCACAGCCCCATGACTCACTCGCCAGGTCTGCCTATCCTGCCACCAGAGTGTGCAGTGTGCTGTCCTTCTGCATGCCAGGACCCTGGGTTCAACGTGTCCCCAGGGCTCATGTGGAGTCTCAACGCCACTCCCGTCAAGGGCTGTGGCAGAAGGGCCTGGGGAAGTGGTCAGGCCATGAGCAAGGCACTTCATGGTGGCATCAGTTGCTTTATGAGAGGATAGTCCAGTGGGCATGCTCGCCCTGTCTTGCCCTGTGAGGATTCCAGTGTCACAAGACCCTTGCCAGAGTCCAGCATAAGCTCAGGGACTTCCAGTCTCCAGGGCCATGTCCAGACAACCTCCATTGTTTGTAAATCACTCAGCCTCAGGTATCCTGTTACAGCAGCAGAATGTGTACTGGACACCTGGATGCAGACAGGCCCACAGCAGTGCAGGAGGTGAAGGGGACTCACTCCCCGAGCCTGGGGAGACGCGGGATGGCCCATAGTGCGTCAGTATGTTCATCAGTTCTTACCAGATGATTCCTCCCCAGAGCAGGGAAAAGACGATGTAGAACAGCAGCGACCCCCAGATGACAAAGTGGTTGATCCAAGTCCAGTAGTGTGTGTCCAGAGCCAGCTGCGAGGGAAGAGGGAGGTCAGCAGTGTGAGGGAGGCAGAAGGCCGCGCAGGACGAAGCTGCACAGAACCCAGCGGGGGCTGAAACCTCCTGAAGCTCCCTAGGAAGACCTGAACCACTCCTCACTTCAACTGAGAAGGAAAGGCCACCCGCCAGCCTGCCACCAGCTCCCGGCTCCTTGTCCCAGCCCTGCCACCAGCTCCCGGCTCCTTGTCCCAGCCCTGCCACCAGCTCCCGGCTCACCCACCGCAGCCCTGCCACCAGCTCCCGGCTCACCCACCCCAGCCCTGCCACCAGCTCCCGGCTCACCCACCGCAGCCCTGCCACCAGCTCCCGGCTCACCCACCGCAGCCCTGCCACCAGCTCCCGGCTCACCCACCCCAGCCCTGCCACCAGCTCCCGGCTCACCCACCGCAGCCCTGCCACCAGCTCCCGGCTCACCCACCACAGCCCTGCCACCAGCTCCCGGCTCACCCACCGCAGCCCTGCCACCAGCTCCCGGCTCACCTACCCCAGTCCTGCCACCAGCTCCCGGCTCCTTGTCCCAGCCCTGCCACCAGCTCCCGGCTCCTTGTCCCAGCCCTGCCACCAGCACCCGGCTCACCCACCCCAGCCCTGCCACCAGCTCCCGGCTCACCCACCGCAGCCCTGCCACCAGCTCCCGGCTCACCCACCACAGCCCTGCCACCAGCTCCCGGCTCACCCACCGCAGCCCTGCCACCAGCTCCCGGCTCACCCACCGCAGCCCTGCCACCAGCTCCCGGCTCATTGTCCCAGCCCTGCCACCAGCTCCCGGCTCACCTACCCCAGTCCTGCCACCAGCTCCCGGCTCATTGTCCCAGCCCTGCCACCAGCTCATCCACCCCAGCCCTGCCACCAGCTCCCGGCTCGCCCGCAGGGACAGCGCCAGGCTGGTGTACGGCACAGAGATGCCTCTGCGACCCTTCCTACTGTCTGCAGGCTGGGTGGCAGGGGACTTCATAGGATGCTACTTGGCCTCAGAGAGCTGGCTCGGGCTGACCTGCGGGCTCTGGCGGGATGGTCCCTCTGAAAGCATTCTGATCTGAATCCGCCACTGGAGTAGAGACTTCCTCGCTTACTTCTGTTACTGCAGTTCAGGGACCAGGTCGCCCAGGATCGTGGGGACATGGTGCCTCATGAGTCTAGGCAGGGAAGGGGAGCTGGGGGTGGCCCTGGGCAGGTGGATCAGCCTCAGTGTGGGTTCATGGCTCAGAGCCGTGGGGTGTGAGACTGCTCTGAGCAGCTGGCCACGAGGAGGGCTCAGAGAAGACCCACCTTCAGCGTGACGGTGAACACCATGACCGTGAACACCAGTGTCCCAAAGGTCCAGTTCCCGAACATCTGTGGAGAAGAGTCGAGTGACTGCCTGCGCACGCAGCCCCTCGCTCCCAAGGCCACGGCAAACATGACGCCTAGCCACACAGACCGGAGGCTGCGCGGGGCGGGGCTACGGCCTGCCTTGACCTGGCCCTGCCCAGCGCTGCCCAGTGAAGGTCAAGCCCCCACAGCTGGGTCAAAAAGGCACCTCCTGGCCTCTGCTTTATGCAGAGACAAGTGACCCAAGTGCCCAGATGCGCTTCTGCCCCGTCTGAGAACAAGCCCAGGACGTGAGAGGCTGCTGGACAGACACTGCTGCTGGGGACAACACTGAGAAACAGCCAGGAGTGCCGGACACACGGGCGACAGGGAGCACACTGTCCAGCACCTCAGGAAAGGGGACAAGCAGACACACGGGACAGAGTGGGACAAGGGCCGCCCTTCCAGTGGCCAGATGCCACAGACGCCAGCCACCGAGCGCAGGAGGAGGGAGCACCAAGTGGGTTCACAGCTGCCCTCCTCTAGCAGTGGCCTTGGAGGACGGCGGGAAGTACAGACACGTCCAGCCACAGACAACACACCTCCAGCAGAGACAAGGCACGCAGAGTAAGAGATGCCCCTCCCAGGGAGAGGTCAGTCGCAGGGAAGCCTCGCCTCCAACAGTGGCCACCGTGAAGGTCCTGTCCTCCGCGAGTGGCCCACACCCAGCCTGTGGGGTGCTAGAGCTGTGCTTCTCAGAGAATGCCCCTGGCCCCACTCTAAGGCAAAATCAGAGCTCTGTGTTACAAAGGACCAGAAGGCTGGATGCAGTGGCCTTCTAGGGCAGTTTTCGACCTAAGATGCCCAGCCAGGGCCACACCCGGCAGTGACTTCTGTGAGGTGCAGGCCACGAGTTCTGGTCCACGCAGTGAGCAGGGAAGGCACTGGGGACTCCGGGGCACACGGGCTGGGACTTTGGGAGAGTCAGCGCTCAGTGCCGGGGCCCTAGTGGCACAGCTGCTCACCACACCCTGGGCTCGTGTCCTGGTCAAGTCAGCCTCTCTCCTCGGATGGGACAACACAGGCAAGCAAAAGCTCAGATCTGCACCCACAGAGCTCCTTGGCCAGGGCACCACGCCCGCAGGGCATGCCTAGCTGTGCCTGGGATGTCTCTGGCACCTGCATCTACTGGGCAGAAGCCAGAGGCACTGCTGCATGCCCGGGACGGTGACTTGGGAGGAACTGTGTGGCCCCGAGTGGGGACGGTGCACAGGGAGACCCTGCGTGGTCCAGAGGCTTCCTGCCTGGGTTCACGGCCTCTTTTGGGGCTGGCCTGCACCTGGGGCCTCGCGCAGGGGAGGTGTGTGTCCTCTCAGAGACGCCCAGCCCACCTCATCGTTAGGCAGGGAGGTCTCAGCCCGAGACCAGCTGCTGATTGGCACCACCTCCCAGGGCACCAGGCCGAGGGTCGGAGCAGTGGTACTGAGCGACTGCTGGGGCCCTGGGGAGCTGTAGGGAGAGAGGGGCTCCCTGTCCTCGCAGGTGTCTACAAAACCAGACGACAGCACATCATGCCACGTCCCCCAGAGCCTCGGCAGCAGCACACCAGGAGGACATGCTGGGCCGGGGACGGAGGCGGCCCTCCACCTCACTGCCATGCCTCTTCAAGGGGCTGGCTGATGGCAGTCCCAGGGAGACGCGTTAGGCCTCTGGCTGGGGTCCACTAAAACATGTGAGCCACCATCCACTTTCACAGGCGGACGGCAAGGCTCAGCTATCTTGAGACCTGAGCTGTGAATTTCAGCCAGGAACCCGGGAAGTGCTGAGCACCAACCCTCTGTGCCCACAGCCCTTGGCCAGGTCACTGGGTGGCGGGCACGGAGCTCCTCTGCTGTGGGCTCCTGATCTCATCTGGTAGCTACCAACGGTCCTGGTTAGGTTGAGAGTCTGGGGATCTTGGGTGGGAGGTGGATGGGCCCCCAGGACACTCCTCGTCAGAGGGACGATCCGACCCCCAGCGACACTCCTCTTCTGACTTCTCAGGACCCATCCTAACGTGAGGACACACCCCTCAGCCATGGCCAGCACCTCTGCGGCACACCCCTGCATTCCTGCACCAGCAACCCAGGGGACGGAGCCTCTGGCAGTCACGGTCTCCCTGCCCCTCCCTAGCCAGGTTCCCATGTTCACGGGGCGTCCACTCAGTCCTCCTTGCCTCTCCGACACCTCTGAGGATGAGCATTCTCATAGGACGCTCTGCTTCACACCTTCCAGCACGCCAATGTGCCTGCGTGGGGGACGCTCCCCCAAAGTACGCCTCTGCTTGGAGCGGTGTGGCCGCACCTCCCCCGCCCCGAATGCTGGCATCTCAACCACCCTCCTGGTCTTCCTGAATTCTACCATGGCCTGCTCTGAACTCCAGTGTTCACGCAGGAACCTGCCACGCAGCAGACACGATGGCAGTGCCTTGGGATTTGCGCTGTGAAGTCCAGGTGAGGGCTTGACCATCAAGACAGACTTCTAGACTACTTGTAAGATGTACCTGGGCCATGGAGAATGCCATCAGAGAGCGTCTCATCACCAAGCTGCAACCCCAGAACCGAGAGGGTCGCTGCTGGGAGACGCGGAGTTCCTGATCTCTGCTGACCCTGCCTGACACTGCTCCTGTCTGGTGGTGAGTGGGCTCTGGACTGCCCAGGACACGCGCACACGCTGGATGCAGCCGACAGGGCTCCCTGAAGGCCACTGGGGCAGGCACATCACGCATGGGGTGGCCTGGGTCATCCTGACCCTGAACTCCTGGGCAGCCCTGAGTCACCTCTGTGGTTGTTGGTGACCGTGGTCTTGGATGGCCGTGCAGTCTCAGCTGTGGGGGCCTTAGGGGCCTGGAGCAAGCCTGCTGGGGAGTCCAGCACAGAACGTCCCAGAACCGGGTGGGCACCCATCGCCGCCAGGCACCTCCCAGTTCTTAGGTGAGGAGACTGCATCCTGCACCTGCTGTGACAGCCGGTGAATGCAGCTGGGGCCACCCATGTCCCCTGAGGCTGTGTGGCTGCACACGACGCCCTGGGCTGCCTCCACCTTGGACTCTTTCCGACCCCATTTCAAGTTCCAGTGATGTGACAAGGGGCAGGGAGTACAAGGTTGGGACATGTTGCTGAAACACCTCTCTCAGGAGACAAGGGATGCAGGACGTGGGGTCCCCCAGAGGTAACAGTGGCGCCCCGGCCAGTGGCAGCACAGCCTGGCTGGAGGGGACGAGGGGCCCTGAGGAGTGCCGGCCGGAAGGCCTGAGCAGCAGCTGGCCTGCCTTTCCAGGGAGAGCAGCTGTGTCCTCCCCTGACCAGAGGGACGCATGCAGGGCCTGCCCGCACCACCCCTGGTCCTCCACTGGTCTCCTCGACCTCTGTTCTAGGAACGTCCAAGAGAACAGGGTGCTGTCAGTACGAGGCAGAGGCCAGCCGGGAAGTGGAGCCAGTGATGACTGCCGTGCCACCCACATGCCACTACCTCCCGAGATCGAGGTCCAGGACACAACAGGAGGCCCGAGCCAGGGAAAAGGCCAGGGAGAGGGAAGAAGTAAAGAGCTCTGGAGCCACAGCGATGGTGGAGGCCGTGCCGGAACCACACAGCCTGGCAAACCAGGGCAAGGAGCAGCCGCAGGGACTGAGCCCCGGAGCAGTAGCGCGGCCTCAGCAGGCTGCAGGACTGGCCTCACGGAAGACCACCTAGGCTACGGGAAAGGGCCGCACCTCTCGGCCATGAGAAAACCAAAGAGGGAGCACATCCTCAGGACTCACGGCAGGGCCTCTGTGTCCCCACCCACAGGCTGCGGGGCAGACATGGGCGGCCACCAGGGGAAGACGGTGCCGGGGACGGGAATGAAAAGCCTTCTGTTGGTAAGCTGCCCTCCAACGCACCTCGGAATGCCAGCCCCATGTTGGGACCCTGGGGGACCACGCTGGGCCCAGGGCTGTGACCCTCAGGGAGGACCACACTGGGCCTAGGGCTGGCACCCTCAGGGACACTCTGGAGTCTGCCCAACACCCCTCAGCTCCCTGGCCAGCTGAAACATGCCCTCAGGCCTCTCATCCCTGCTGACTCTGCCCTTCATCACCATGAAGAGGGTTCAGATCCACAGAGCCTGACACAGACCTGGGGTGGGGGGACAGGGAGAGAGATGGCCGGAACACACAGGTCTCTGGCCAGTAGAGGGCAGGAGAACTGACAGCATTTCTACCCACAAAGCACACAGTAGAGGTCACATGTGAAAATATTTTCGAGAAATATTTTAATTGCAGTGCACTCCAGAAAACACAGAGGAAGGACAAACCCACGGTTCTTACCATGTGTGTGTTGGTGGTCACTATCTGAGGGTGAAGGAGGCGAGTAGCAGAGAGAAAAAAGCAAGATACAAATAAAACAGACCCCAGGAAGCAGGCCAGTGTCGAGCGCCCGGGACGCACCTTGCTTGCCGCGGGGCACGGCCTGCCCGGGCACGCTACGCCAATGTACCCCGCGCCCGGGAGTGCTGCCCGATGCCATAGTGGCACACTGGCCCTGAGCTGGCCATGGAAGGAAGGTCACACAGCATGCCCGGGAACCCCAGAGGCCCTGCCCTGCTGCCACGTGACCCTGGACGTGTCTGCTGGACGCACAGGCGTCTGCGACCCACCCGCAGGGCCTGGGAGCCCTGCTGAGCTACTATTCTCACAGCGTGATCACATGGGGTGAGGGATCATCCTCAGCCACCAGAGGACAGTACTGACCTGTCCACCGCTGGTCACGACTGTGTTTTCAAACATGAAATAAGCACCAAAGAAAAACACCAGCGCATCAAATAGCCCCAGGAAGGTCCAGTAGGTGAACACCCTCCAGCGGAGCAGCGCGTTCTTGGCGATGTCCCTGTGGGAAAGGGAAGGGGACAGCATTACACAAGGCGACCCGTGTGGCTGCACCGCTGCACCGCCGCATATGCCTGACCCCCAAACAGGGTGGACACAGGCCACCTGAGGAAGACGAGAGTGTGGTGAGAGCCTCCGTGCCCCGCGGTTCCCAATGTGCGGGCTTTGGGGAAACCGCATGAGAGCACGTGGAGTCTCCCTGGAGTCCGCTCCGCAACCACCTGTGAGTCTAAATTGGAGGAAAAATACATGTTTAATTTAAAAAGACAAACAGGAACATCAAGTCTGCCAAAGATCCTGAATGGCAGTTCTGAAATAACAGAAAAACATCTATCCTTTATTAATTACATTTTTTTTTTAAGAAGAAAAGATCACACTGAAATCAGATCCACCAACATTTCTGAACAGAACACACTTGGTTCTAAAGGGTGATCCAGGCCATGAATTCATGGTCACAAGAAGCCCGACATCCTCATCCCTAGTTCTTCCACAGTCATCAAACAGACTGGCCTGACGTGCGTCCCCTCTCCGCCATCTCTGACCTGGGGGCGAAGGCCACACTCCTGCTGGTAGGGCTCCTGGCGGCAAGTGCACAGTCCATTAACATCCCCAGGTTTGAACGTGTCTGTCGGTGCTGACCGGAAGGACTGAGGCAGTCCCTGGGTGCTTCTGGGCAGGGGAGGTCCACTGGGATGGTGGGGACCCACCTGTATAGCGAAGGGTCTCTCTTGAGCACGTCGATGCCCACGTGCTGCTCCATCAGGCTGTACAGCAGAATCGGGAGGGACGTGAAGCTGATGTTGTAGAGGGTCAGGTACGCGGTGTCGTACAGGGTCTGGAGGAAGAGGGCGTCCGCTGACCACCTCACTTCCTGCATAGACTGCTGGTGTCCTCTTTCACTTAACACAGAGAACCACAGCTGGGCACAGAATGTGCCCACAGTGTACCCAGAGCCACCCTTGCAGGCAGAGGGGACAGCATGACTACAAAGCCTCACAGGGCCAGGACAAAGCTGCAGCTGGCCCCTCCTGGCTCTGACCCACCCATTCTGTCACTGCAGATTGCCAAGTGGGGACAAAGGGAAGAAGAAGTGGAACAAGGATTTGCAGTTCTGACAGCCACCCTCCAGATTCACCTGCCTGGTCCTGGATGCTTCAGAAAAACAGCTGGCACACTGTGCACTGGCACACGCAGGTGTCACCTGGGAAGCAGGGCTGAGGAGCCCCCTCATCCTGTCCCTGTCCCCATCCCAGGCCACCACCCCTGCCCCTGGCACACTGCAGGGCCTCTGGCCCCAAGGATGACACAGACACCCATGAGTACCTCCAGTGTGGACCCTACACCCCAAGTTGGGGGCTGGGAGGTGGGTCCTGCCTCTCCAACACCTGAGGCCAGCAGACCCGCCCAGAGGCTCCTCAGCACTGTGGCCTGCACCTGATCCCATACCCGCCTGCTGATGGGCCCCGGGCAGTGGGAGGGACAGTGGGAGGAACAGTAGTGAGCTTGCTCACTGTCCCTGTGGCAAGGTGGCCTGGATGTCCCAAAGTCTCTTCTCCCCACTGCAGCCACCCTCCAGGGAAGGGCAGCAAGGCAAGGAGAGGCTCCTGACTTAGAGGACGTGAGGACTGACCTGTTGTGAGAACCCACAGAAGAACTGGTACAGAAACTGGGGGAAAATGAAGCAGACGTTCTGAAAGGCAAGCCGCAGGCGTTAGGTCAGTGACGGTCTCCAGAGGATCAGAGCCCACACCATCTACTCTGTGTGGGGACCAACCCAGACGTGCTCTGCGTCCTGCAGAGGAGCACAGAATGGGCTCTGGAAATTCTCTTCTCGTTTCAGTGGCCACTAAAACCCTGCTCTGGCTGCGGTGACACAGACAGTGTACAGGGACTCTGTCAGGAAGGGGTCAGCAAAGCCAGGAAATAAGCTACTGCCCAGGGAGCCGGGCTCTTGGAAGAGGTACAAATGGTGCCCCACAGGCACCCCACTGCTGGAGCCGTCAGCTCCACAGTGAGATCTGGGGGGGAGGAGGTGCTGGGGAGCCTCCCATGGTGAGAGACACACCCCTTCCTTCCTGCCCAGGGTCAGGCTGTCCTGGTGGCACACGCGGCCCGAGGGGGAGGTGTGGAGACTGCCTACCTTGTAGAAGAAGTACTGCACCAGCTCAGAGATCCTGATGTAGTAGAAATGCCCGTGGACCAGAAGCATCTTCTTCAAGTGCTTGAACTTGGGTATCGCGTAGTCGCTGTTCCGCGCCGCCTGCCGGCCTTCCTTCCCAATGACCCCTGCGAGCATGGAGAGTGAGGAGCCAGCTGGGAGCCGGCCCAGCCAGGGCAGCCTCCTGTCGCAGCCTCCCCCTGGCTCACCTATGCCCACATGGGCCTCCAGGATCATGCTGACGTCATTGGCGCCATCACCGATGGCCAGGGTGATGGGGTGCTCTTTTGAAAATTTGATCAACTTAACAATCTAGAAAAGATAACAAAATTGACTCCTCTGCTTTATCTGCCAGGGTTATTCCCTAACAGTACACATAGAGGCACACAAGGGTGGCACACATAGGCAGAGCTAAGGGGTGAGGTGGGAGCGCTGCTGGCTTGGAGCTAATTCACCATAGCCTGCTTCCCTCTATACAGCAGAACGTCATCCCTATTTGGAAACCAGCAGAATAAAGTGAGACGTGGGAGATACGATGGCGACAGGCTGTGAAAGGGCCATCAAGTGAGCTGCATGGCTGGCCACGACTCAGATACCAGGGCAGGTGCCAACTCGGCTCCATGAGCAGGTCTGCAGAGCCGGGCTGGTGTCAGGCGGCGAGTCTAAAGAGCGAGCCGTGGTTCTCTGGCTATCTTACTCTTCAAAACTGTCCTGTGCGCAGAGCTAACCTGGCACCTGCGTGCAATGAATGACTTCTAGGGTTCCAAGCTTTCTCTGTGGTCTCCCCCACGTAGGTGCCAAGTGCACTGGTGTAGGGGTGAGACTGAAAGATGGGAAGCAGGTTTCAAGATGAGAGACTGGCATGCAAATTCAATGTAGAAAGCTTTTCAAAAGCCAATTGAGAAATTAGAACTGGTTCAGAAAACCTTAGCTGCATCTGGGAAGTAACTGAAACAGATTTAGTGGAACATATTAGAGGAGGGAAGGAACGAAGTAAGTTCATGGAAACAGGATGCACATGATTCCTGAGCCTGGGGCACCTCCTTGAGAACTGCCCAGGGAGGCCCTGGCTCTTAGTGAGAGGTGAGCGTCACACATGTCACGTGCTGACCACCAGTCCTTGCACTTGGTTCTTAGAGTTTGTGCAAGATTTATTTTACCTTAACTACTGGGCCAATCTGAGAAGTTGCAGATTTCTTTAATGAACAGTTTAGATGCTGGCCTATTGTATCTAAGATGTGCTGCGATCAAGTTGGGGCTTCAGGTCTACTGAGTTTGGAAAGACGCCATGTTTACACGTAGTTCCCATAATGCATTTAAATGGCAGTTAGAAGTATTTTGGAAACACTTCAGGTGTGTCTCCCATAAGAACTCAAGGGGGTAGGACCAAAGTTTGGAGCTGGACTGGCAAGAGTCCAATTTGCATGCTCTGGACACGTAGGCCAGCTGGTAAGGTCAGGACCTACTCATCCCGCAGGGCTGAAGGCCAGAGCACTGATGACTGGGGATGGCACACAGCAGGGACTCAGTAAATGCCAGTCCCCTCCTTTCTTCATTTCTCAGGAGGGAGCCAGCACCCTCCTAGCCACTGTACCTGGAAGGGCCACCCTGGACTCCACACTCACTAGTCAGGGAGGGTGACTGAAACCTCTGCCACTTCTGCCTCTGTTTCTAAAGGTGCTACCACACTAGGGTTTTTAGGAGTCGGGGCTGAGGGACCTCGGGACAGGGCTGGTGTTTCAGCACGCATCCCTGGGTCACGAAGGGGCGCACCTGGGCTTTCTGCAAGGGCGCCATCCGGCAGCAGAGCACAGCACTGCAGTTCCGGCAGATCTCCAGGAAGAGCTCTCGGTAGTTGCTGGAACTGCCGTCCTCTCGGGGCTTCATGATTAATGACAGCGCCACGCCATCAATAATTAAACCGTAGTCCTGCATATCCGCTGAGAGTCTGTTAGGCCACACAAATAAGAAAGATCACTCAATCGCTAGATCCATGTTTTAGAACCTACAGGTGCTGCCACCCCCCAGGACTAAGCCGCCGGGCCTCCACTTCATCAAGGCAACCTTCGGAGCATTGCATGTAACAACTATGATGATATTTTAATGAAATGTTCTTGTTTTCCTCAGACAGAGCCACAGCTTCGTGGGAAGCTCTGGGAACAGGGCCTCTGTCTGTCAGCCTACCCTGGGTCCAGATTCCTGAACCCCCGTCTGTGTGTACAGCTCGCAGCCACAGACTCCCTGCCCAATAACCCAAGCTGATGAGAACAGAGGTGACACACTCTCTTTGCCAGCCTTCAAAATGACAAATACTCCCAATCCCCAAATGCATCTCAGGCACAGAGAACTATCCTCGTCTATTTATGAATAATTTAAAATTTGCATTTGATGAGAGCACTCACATGCTCTGCCCACACTAATGGGAATCTAAAACCAGCTAAACAAGCCCCATCTCAGAAGACGCGCCGCAGGCCAGCACGGCAGCCCTGTACACTGTGTCTGTCAGACTGCCGGACATCCCAGCACGCTGCCTCGCCCCAGACAGACCACCTGCATTATTGATAACCCCGGCCTGCCTGGATACTCTCTCTGGCATCTGCCGCAGAGCCCCTGAGTCTTAGAAGCAGTCAAGAATTATCCCAATGAAAACACTTTAAAAAAAGAGGAAGACAAGAACACGTGCTCAGTCTGTCTTCCCGTACCCTCAACCCTGCCCACAGTCTGCACCTGCACCTCGACACAGAGGAGCAGGGAGACGTGTCTCAGTCCACGACTGAGAGGTCCAGGACTCAGTCCCAAGTTCAACCTGACCCAGGAGGACCTGTGCTCATGCTCTCAGGAGACCCAGATCCCTGTAAGGATGGGGAGACCCCAGGACTTGCCAGTGGAGGCTGGGCCTGACCCTTCAGGGGCAGGAGGGCACCCACCCTGAGAAGTTGTCCCTGGTCAGGCTCCCGCTGCAGCGCAGGACGGTCTTGCTCAGCTCGAACAGGACGTCATGCAGACTCTGCTCCTCGATCCGCTTGGTGGTGAGCTCGAGCACCTGCGTGCTCCTCCGGAAGAGCTTGCAGGCATAGCAGGTGGCCGCAGCCGTCTCCATCTTGTCCCCGGTGAGCACCCAGACCTTGATGCCCGCCTTCTGCAGTGCCTCGATGGTGTCGGCTGCTTTCTCCTGGAGCCTTCGGGGAGAAACCAGCAGGTGAGCCCCAGAGCACAAAGCCAGGGAGAGGGCTTCAGGAGCCTGAGGCTGCAGAGGGACGCGCTGCAGAATCCAAGCACGCGGCTGCTGCTGGCCATCTCACCGCAGCGTTCATGGCGCTTCGCGACACCAGCAGACAGGCCAGACAGAGCGTCCACACACTGTCGCCACTGGCCACCTCCAGTTCTGTCCAGCTGAAACCCACCACGTGGACAGGGCAGCAGGCAGTGTGAGGAATCCTCGTGGCCCATGGGGAATGGTCTCTCGCAGGAAAACGGGGCGTGGGGTGGTCGCAGGAGTCACTTCAGTTCTTTTGCTACAACCTGCTCTGTCTGACTGCCTTTTACCAAACTGGAATCCCAAACCCAAGTTACACCACGTCCTGAGGGTGCTGCCCGGGTCCATAGGCCAGATGCCCTCGACGCACGTGGGGGATTCCCTTCCTGTCTACCATGGACCACCACCTCCCTCCTGCCAGCTGGCCGAGGCTCACTGCGAGGACACTCTGCTGACACTGTCAGCCTGCGCCAGTCTGTGGGTGCTGGTGGGGTCACAGCCACGAGCGTCCCACCCAGTGACTGCCGTCCCCTCCAGGTCTGAGAGCCCTGACTGTTGGAGGTGGGTCAACACACGCTGCTCCCACCCAGTGCGGGTGGGGGACTGGGCTCAGGTGAAGTGCAGCGACGTGCCTGGACTTGGGAGGAACTCCCTGCACAGGACTGTCCAGGTCACACAATCACAAATCACAGAAAGCAAAAAACAAACAAACAAACAAAAAAAACCCCTCTAATAATAATTATTTGTAATTAGAGTTTTAATATTTGATGAGATTTAAATTGGGGGGCAGGAATGAGTCCCAGAGAGGTTTGCAAGTGTTGGCTGGTGTTTCAAAGAGATCACTTGTAATCAACTGCCATCTCTTCACAGCCACTCATCCCCTGTGCCCCAGGGGTCACCTCTCCATCTCCATGTCCCAAGGTCAGCCACACTGACCCTCCACCCCCAGGCTCCGTGCACCTGCTCTATGGCTGCCTTGTGGCCACCTGGTGGCCACCTGTCTAGCTGAGCATCCCTCCCCTTCCCGGGCACAGGGCCACGGCCGCCCCACAGTCCTGGCTTGCTAAAGCCTGTCTGCCTCAGGGCGGGTCTCCCGCGGAGGCCTGGGTCCCCACTGCACAGTGCGCAGGCACACAGCCAGCCACAGCTCTGTGCTGCACCACACTCCCGTCAGAAGGAGCACGTGAAGTGTTCACAGAAGGCTCCGGAACATGGAGGTCAGCCCCGAGGACTTTCTCCTCACCATGAGCAGCAGCCGTGAGCAGCAGTGTGGCCCTGGCTTTGCTCCCCCAGCAGAACCCCTGGCGTCCTGCTGTGCTTGCAGCCCCAGGAAGGCCTACTCCTCACTGACCGCTGTGGAGGCGGGAAGCCACCTGGAGGCTGGGACACCTGTGATTGGTGCTTTCCACCAGTCACGATCACTAGGCCCTGCAGCAGTCCCGGGCTATCCTAAGCTTCTTCAAAGGGCAATGAGAAATATGTTGAGGGGGAGGGAGGGGAGGGGGGGGAGGGAACACATTAGCAAGCTCAGCCGAGGCCCCTCGCTGACCCTGGAGGACCACGGAAACCTGGACCTTGATGATCCCTAATGGGCTTTCTGAGAAGTGTGCTTCAGCCCCCTTGTTTCTGGACAGCAAAGTGGCCTCTGGCCACAGCCCCCCAGGACGTTCACCCACCCTGGCCGCCCACTGCGTCGCGGGCCTGGGGTGGGCAGGTGTGTGCCTTTACCTGTCCTCCACGGCCGTGGCACCAAGCAGGATGAGGTCCCTCTCGATCTGCTCGTAGGCCTCTGCGAGCTTCTTCTCCCGGTCCTGGAGGGCCACCTTGGCGGCCTGCAGCAGTCTGCAGGCGCCCTCGTACTCCTCGGGGGCCATGCTCTTGTAGGCCACACACAGTGTGCGGAGCCCCTCCTGCGGACCACACGGCGGCGTCAGGAGGGCTGGGGCTGTGCTGAGCACGCAGGGGCCCTCCTGACGCCCACGTTCTAGTTAGGAGGACAGGCCAACCAGTGAGGGTCAGTCCTACACTATTCCTGACCACGCAGAGTCCGGGGAATCATCTCGAATCACAAATTCCCATCTAGGAAGCCTGGAACACCAGCTGCTGGAAGCCGTGTGTGAACTACGGGTTTGTCTGAGCCGCCGTAAGGCGGGGAGGCTGGTTTCCTGGGAACTCCTGGGTGAAATTCCCTGGTCCGAGAAAGTCCAGGTCAGCCATGCCCTGCCTTAGCTCACATCCCTGGTTCCAACGCAGCCGCCAGGACATGGGCGTGACTGCCAAGCTCCAAACAACTGTCTTCCCCACTCATCCTGTTTCCTGAAGAAGCTCCTCACTGGCTCCTTCTGGTGGGTTCCACTCTGAACAAAGCAATTGCGGGCCTCTTCCTCGTCAGGATCAGACCAAGGACTCATCCACCGGTCAGTGCCCAAAGGGCTCGTCCACCCGTCAGTGAATATAGACACATTTCTCATCTTTTTTGTGTATTTCTTTTCCTTACTATCTTTTTAGTTGTTGATAGACGTTTATTTTTTTATATGTGGTGCTGAGAATTGAACCCAGTGCCTCACACATGCCAGACAAGCGCGCCACTGCTAGCCCCCGCCCCGCCCCGCCCCTGTGTTTATTTCTTATCCCAGCCTTTATTTCCAGCTGGCCCACACCTACTCCCGCCCCACGCAGGTCGTGAGCAGGAATCGTCAGGGTTATCACCCCAAAAGAGACTTCCCTCCTATTCTCTGATGAATGCATTGCTTAAGTTAAACCTTTCTAGGATAATAACTTGCAATTCTGTGGTAAACACCAAGTGGTATTTCTGAAGCAGACTTGTCTCACTTGGGAGCTCGTCAAGGGGAAGGCGAAGGCCCTGGAGGCTGCCCACCAGCCTCGACTCCTGCATAAGCATTTCGCCTTCCAGGAGACACCTGGTCTTTGTGGTCTAGAACGGACTTCCCAGTATGTGTGGAAGCTTCCAGCAACTCTGGGGCACTCAGTCTCCTCATGCCTCTGACCTCCGGGTCTAGCTCAAGGGCACCTCACTGGACTGACAACGCTCATCTCCCTGAGCACTTGAGAGCGAGGGGCGCAAGAGGCCTCCCACAGACCTGAGAGCAAAGGGACCTGGGTGTGTGAAGCTGTGTTCTCCAGGAACCTTCCAGAACTCTGTTCCTGTGCACCCTCCAAACATGGTCTCCTGCTCCAAGGGGTCGAGCAAGAAGCCAGAGCTGTCCTAACCCCGGCTTCCACACCCACACATGCTGCCTGGTGTCCCAGCCACGTGCGCCTGTCCCCCTCCCCTGGCTGTGGCTGCTGGGCCATGTCCTACTTCACCAAGAACTCGGTGGGTCTGCGAGTGGAGGAGTGGAGGGCCCGAGGAGCACACAGATGAAGGCTTCGTTCACAAGTGGACAACCCCAGGACAAGAGAACAGCTTTCAGGGAGAACCATCCCGAGTGGCCCACCGCGCAGAGCTGGCGTGAGGGCACACAGACACCTTCATAACACAGAGGTCCTTGCTTCTCAAAGCAGACGGGACTTCCTCACATGGCTTCAGGGAGCAGAAGTGAAGCCTCTCTGTTCTTCCTGCCCAGGGCCAGTGAAACCCGCATAGTGCACACACAGGCACACGGACGGGGTAACACGGGCCAGGCCAACACCACCAGAAAACGACAGGACCAGATCCCCTGGCAACATGGACACCAACGTCCTCACCAGCAAGCCAGATGGGACAGGCAGGGCCAGGGGCTCCCCCAGGAGACTGAGGAGCTCAGCACTGGAAATCCACTCCCCGCAGTACAAGGCCTGGCAGAAGCAGTAGAGCCAGCCCAGCATTCGAGGGACGCAGACATGCAGCTGACCAGAACCCTGTGCCTGTCCCAGCAGGATCGGCAGGTGCCTACTCAGCACGGCAGAAGCCATGGAGAAAACCCACAGCAGATGTCACATGAGGCCAAGACAGCACTTCCCCGAGTCAGGAACAGAGGGGGCCTGCCTGGCCACTTACTTCTCCTCGTGGCATAAGAAGTTCCCATCAGAGCAACCAGGCATTAACAGGGGGACGCCCATGAGGAAGGGTGCCTAAGGACCCTCTGTCTGCAGATGACGTGGCCCCACAAAGACAGACCCAAGCCGGCAGAGACACCACTCCCCAGACAACCCCAGGGGAGACCAAGGCAACCCCCGCAGTGACATCAGGAAGCAGAACCCTCGGCTCTGCGCTCAGCCAGAGGTGGAGGGCTGAACGGAATCACTCGAGACCCGACTCAACGGGACGTCCCAGCACTGCTGGTGACAGTGCTGCGCAGGGCCACCTCCAGGCCAGCGTGACCCCACAAGGAGCCCTAGGGTGGAAAAGCCCAGCTGAGATTCGTGCGCATCTCAACTGGCCCCTGAAGGACCTTGCAAAGGCCAACCAGCTCTCCTGCTCTGGTCAGCCAGCCCGACACCAGGACGCAGGGCCATGACCAGACCTGGAGGCCAGCACACCCGGCTGGCAATTCTGACAAGGCACCAGGACCGTGGTGGGGAAAGAACCAGCCGCCATCAAGGGGCTGGGAGACCGACCGACGCCTGCGAGAGAGCAAGGCTGGCCTGTCGCCGTCCCCTGAAGCCAACCAAAGGGCAGCGAAGCCCCGAGCGCAGGAGCTAAGCTGCGGAACCCGGAGGAAGAGCAGGCGGCCTCCCGACTCCAGGCTCCACGATGTCAAGACGTGACGCCAAGCAGAGACCACAGAGGAGAGCTGGATGACGGGACTCAGAGGACACAAGGGCCCTGCACTTGCTTGATCATTCTCATTTCCTGTCAATCTGCCATTATTTAAAAATAACATTAGCAACCAGGGGGCTGCAAGGCCCTCAGGTGCCCAGCAGAGGAGATGCCCAGAGGCCAGGAAGGAGCTGTCAGGAAGGGTGGCACAGCTCGACCCCAGGAGCTCACAGCGGTCACTGGCCCGAGTGCCACACTGGACCCACCATCACATCACAAGATGGCACCAACTGAAGGAAGCAGCACTCTCCTGGGAACCGGCTCCACAAGACTCGAGGTCTGCAGGAACAGCAGCCTCCAGGCCAACCAGGCACACCGCTGGCTGAGGAAGGCACAGGCCATGGCCACGCCCGGGCACACCGCTAGACCTGGGCAGTTGCCGTCTGCAGGAAGGGTGCCCTGGGGACACGGTACGGCAGACCAGACAGGGCAGAAACTGGGGTGGAACAGATGGAGGATTTTAAGGAAAAGCCTCAGAAAGCTGCAGAGAGACAGGGGGCAGCTGACCGCACAGGAACTGCTCAGTGGGAGCAGGAATACCAGAAAATGAGCTCCCAGAGCTGAGGAAGCTCCAGAGCCCAGGCAGCAGGCCAGCCATGTGCCGACGAAGGGCCACCATGCCATCTGGCCTCTCCAGCTGCCCAAACCCCGCAGTCCACTGCAGCTGACTTCAACAACCCTGGAGTGGAGACTGTCTGAAGCATGGTCCACCCACCCATGCTGCCAGCTCCACGGAAACCACGGCAGACCAGCAAACACACACCCACGTGGACAACCCTCCAAACAGCTAGTGCCGCAGAATCCAGAGGGACCCTGGCAGGAGAAGGCAGAGGTGCACGCACGCACACAGACACACAGACAGACACACATGCGCACACGAAGACACATGTGCACCCATGTGGACAACCCTCCAAACAGCTAGTGCCGCAGAATCCAGAGGGATCCTGGCAGGAGAAGGCAGAGGTGCACACCCGCACACAGACACAAAGACACACAGAGACACATGCGCACACATGCAGACACACATGCACACACGAAGACACACGTGTACCCATGTGGACAACCCTTAAAATAGCTAGTGCCGTAGAAGCCAGGGGGAACCTTGGTAGAAGGCAGAGGTGCACGCACACACATAGACAGAAAGACACACAGACACACAGAGACACATGCGCACACATGCAGACACACAGACACACATGAAGACACATGTGCACCCATGTGGACAACCCTCAAAACAACTAGTGCCGTAGAAGCCAGGGGGGACCTTGGTAGAAGGCAGAGGTGCACGCACGCACATAGACAGAAAGACACACAGACACACAGAGACACATGCGCACACATGCAGACACACAGACACACATGAAGACACATGTGCACCCACGTGGACAACCCTCAAAACAACTAGTGCCATAGAAGCCAGAGTGGACCCTGGCAGGAGAAGGCAGAGGTGCATGCATGCACACAGACACACAGACACACACACACAGAGACACACGAAGACACACAGAGACACGAAGACACACAGAGACACACAAAGACACACATGCACATGCACAGACACACACACAGACATACACAGACACACAGACACATGCGCGCATGCACACAGACACAGACACACACATGCGCACGCGTCCACACACACACGAAGAGACATGCGCACACAGACACACATGCACACACGTGCACACAAGCACACACATAAGCAGACAAGTACACACACAGACACATGTGCACACACATGCAGATGCGCACACACACTCACAATCGCAGGCACATGCAGAAACAGACACACGCACTACACATGCAGGCACACGCAGACTCGTGCGCACACATACATACACGCAGACACACAGACTTTAGTCAGCAGCAGGGTTTTAAGGTTTTGCCCTAATAAGTGCAATGAAGCCCGGCGGGTGCCGGAAGACACCCTTTAGCTACCCCCTGGCAGAACGTGGATGCAGCTGTATGGAGACGTGTCTGTGTGTGTCTGGCGCTTTATAAACTAGGAGCAGAAAGAGATTTCTGGACCAGGAGTAGAGATTTCCAGGCCACGGCTGTCCCACCTGCTCCTTCCTCCCGGGGAGATGGGCTATAAGAATGTGGCCTGCCACCTCGAGGAACTGCCACCAGATTCCCAGATCCCAGGCACCAACGGAAAGAAAGGAGCCCTCCCTGGGCAGAGGGCCACCTCGGGCCGCCTGTCCTCACGGGTCTCACCACTGCATTGCGCTCCACCCTGGCTCGGATCTGGTCCACTCTGCCTTCCGTCACCCTGGGAAATATGGAAGAATCCGCTCCTTTGCAAAACAGATAGATTTCTCCTGTAAAATAAGAAAAAAGAAGAGAAAACCACCAAGGTTGAATTTCATCCTGACACGGGGGCCCTGCACCGCTTTCCACCGCTGGAATGCCTCAGCAGGACACCAGGCCTGAGACCACTTTAAAGACTTTAATGGCCAACTGACAAGCCGAGGTTGGGAAATCAGATCTGTGGATTCCTCCCAAACCTCCTTTTACTCTCACTCTCGGAGGTCCCAGAGCAAAGTCAGGACCAGGAACAGAAGGTGGCTCTTGGGCCTCGGCTGCACCTTCTCTGGTAAAGGCAGAAAGAAAGACCCAAGGCCCTGGGCAGAGTGGGGGCATGATGAATGCAGGGGTTGCCCGGCCAGGGCAGGGAGAGCAGCCTGTGGACACTGGCCGCTGCAGTGTCATGGAACAGGCCGGCCTCCGCGTCACCGAGCAGGAGAAAGGGCACCAGGGCCGCACACCTCCCACACTGCTGAGAAGGGCTCCTTCGTCCTCAGGTGAGCCGGGGCAACGGCAGCAGTGGCCAAGCTGCTGGTACAAGGTGCCAGCCCTGATGTCACCCACTCACAGCCGGGGCCCTTCTCTGGGGAGAGTCTCAGCCTGCCGGGTGTGGCAGCAGGTCAAGGCCACCATGCTCCACCATCAGGGCTGCAGGGCTACGGGGGTGGGGGATGGGAGACACTCCTTGGCCAGACTGACATTCCAGGAGACTGAACCCGGTCCTCTGTGGGGACAGATCCTTGAGCCCCCTAACACCGAGGGTCCTTCCAAGTATCCAGGACCAAGTCTGGAGGGCACTGGAGGTCAGTCGGGGACTGTCCAGCTCAGCGATTCCCAGGGTGGGGTGGGCAGAGGCCCTCCTGGGCTGACAACTGGGATCCAGACCCAGGGTTCAGGGGTGTGTTGGGCGCCAACCTTCCTCGGACAGACCCCGGAGAGGCACAGAGAGAATGTCTAAGTCACAGATATGACCCACTGGCTGAGGGCTCAGTCCAGATGCTGGCCACAGCCACAAAGCACTGCCACGGAGACGTGGGTTGTGGCCACCTGGGTGGGCCACGCCTGAGCAGACACTGGGCAGAAGCAGGTGGGAAAAGGAGCCCCGGGAGCAGCTACCAGGGACACAGGGCACTGGCTCTAGCTGGTGCCTGCAGAACCACACTGGTGGGGCTTCTGGGGCCATGACCCATCCAGGATGGTCCCAGAGCCCGTCATGGTCACCAGATGGTGGGACTGCTCATGCTTCAGGGCTCCCGGCTCAGCTACCCGCAGTGCCGATGTGCCCACACATACAAGGCCGGGCATGTCGGCCCTGGGACGAGGGTGTGCCTGGCCTAGGAGCAGCCCCAGGACGTAGCAAGTGTACCCTGGGCGGGTGGGCGCAGACCTGCTGTTGCAGTCCTGTGGACACGTGGCCTGCAGGACTGAGCCTATGGGATCAGGTCTTCTGGTCCTGTCGACTGTGTGGCTGCCCTGCCACCATCCACTCCAGGGCCAACAAGAGTTGGTGGGGAGGATGGTGGCCAAAGCTCCTGGTGGACATGGCTGGGCACTGTGTCCCACCCATGCTAGGCGACACTGTGGTAAGCCTGGTGGTGGCTCTCAGGGGACAGGGCACGTCGACAGGCAGCTCTGGGGTCGTGTGACACAGTGCCTCCCTTTGCCTCACTGTAGGGGCTGTGGTGTGGACACCATCAGAAGAGCCCCAGGTCATGCTCACGAGTCTCTGGAACAGGAGCGCCCAGCGTGGCCGAGTGCCCAAACCTCCGGTGTCCCTCCTCAATTCGGCCTCATCGGGTCTGCAGGGTGCACAGCACGGGGCACAGGTATTTGAGGGGTTTCCCTGACGTTGTGGGCACCACTTCCACCGGGGGAGAAGGACTCCGCCCACCCACAGGTGGCGAGACCCACACGGTGGTGCCCCCTCGGGGGAGTGGGACTAGGACAGCCTCTGCGGACACGGCGCTCCTCCTGCCGGTCCCTGAGGCTCTTCGGGATGGCATCGTGGCCCAGAGTATGTTCTGCAGAGGCCCCAGGAAGGGTGCAGCCTCCTGAGCCCAGGGCTGTCCCAAGCCGACACCTCAGGCCTCAAGCTGGGTCACTGCCGCATCCACAAGAGCCCCTGTGCAGCCCGGACGGCACAGTGACGTTGGTGGCTCAAAGAGGCTATGAGAGGCTTAAAGGTGGCTCCTCCGTCGGCAAAGCACCTCTACTAGACGTGGTGGCCCCAGGGCAGGAGCAGTGTCATGGGGCACAGCTGGGGAGGCTCCCCTGGCGAGACCCAGCTGGGAATGCCCACACGCTGTCCTCCTTCTGGTGGTTCACAGTGGCTGGAGGTCGCGGGATGGTGTTCCGTGGGGGTAGGTGGGGTGGCCTCCCACCCTCAGCAGGTGTCAGCGTCTCCGCATCGGCTCCCAGAGACGGTCCTGCGACCCACTGCCAGGTGGTAAAGCCCGCTTCTCTGTGTCTCACGGCAGTGTCCACAGAGGCTGCCGCGTGTCCCATGACTTTGGTGCAAATCTTGTAGGTGGCGCCTGCTCTTCTCCCTCATGTTGTGATCCATCTCGGGGTAGGTGCTGTGGGACTCAGTGGGTTGAGATACACAGCCAGGTCCCCAGCAGCCACAGTATCCTCCCGAGGCTGCCCACCCAACACAGGGAGCTCCGTTCTTGGACAGCAACTCGGGACACTGCTAAATGTGCTCTAAGCCACCCCCACTGTCCTCAGTGGTCTCCGGAGGGGACGCTGCTAAATGTGCTCTCCGTACCCTCTGCTGTCCTTGGCAGTCTCCAAGGGAAAAAAGGATGGCTGCTCTCAGCCAGGACCTCAGGACAGCTCTGCCCAGGAGATCCCCTGCTTGCTTCACACAGACAGGAGGTCTCTCAGCACGAGCAGAGGAACCTGGCCAACAAGGAATTCCCCGAGGCTGGACTGGGCAGATCCAGGGCAGCAGCACTGTTTGGTGACTGACCTGGCATCTGCCCAAAGAGGGACCAGCCTGGTGTTGCCTAGTTTAGGAAACAGCACAGGTCCCCAGCTCTCGAGGTGCTGCTCTGAGCTGCGCTGGTGAGTGGACTGGCCCCATCTCCCCAGGGCTCTGCAGGGGGCAGGGGCAGGGAGCGCCCTGCTGAGTGGGGCACACGCTGCCTCTTTCAGGACTGGGCCAGAGGCAGAGGCTCCAGTGCAGGGCCACGTCCAGCGTGTCACCATGGGACCACACAGGGAGGAGTGGGACCGAGGAGGCCGGTGTCGCTAGCCAGGCAGTACTGAGCCGTTCTGGATGGGCGCGCAGGAGGGCAAGCCCACGCTGGGCAGCGCCTGGGCCTGTGGGGACGGCGGGTGGACACTGAGGCTGGGCTGCTGACGACGGCTAGGATGGTGGTGCAGGGCCTGGACAGGGGTGTGGATGACTGTCTCCAGTTCCCTGCAGCGGGGGCACAGGGTGTGCTGCACTAGGGGCAGGGGCTGGAGCTGGCAGGGCCCAGGTGCCAGGCTGCAGGCTGCTAACAGTGGGACTGCAAGGGAGCCTCCTTGGGGACAGTGAGGAGGGCCTCATGGGCTCTGCCAGATGGGGGAGGGGCCAGCCAAGGCTCAGGAACCTTCCAGAAGCAGGAGGAGCTGAGGTGCCACGAACAGCCCTGGGCTGAGCAGGGACAATGAGCCAAACACCACAAATGCTGAGCGCGCGCAGAGGTCACCAAGGTCACGCAGTCAGAGGGTCTGACCCCACCTCGTCCTCCATCCAGGACCCCGAGGCAGAGCCTGAGCCTGGGGCCCGTGAGACCCTCTGCCCAGCAGAGCCCACAGCTCAGTGACGTGTGTGTCACCACCGGAACGCCCTCCTTCCTCAACAGCGGGTGTTCGAGGGCTGAAACACGCACGGGCACCCATGAGCGAGTGAGCGCCAAGGGGCATGTTCTCCCTGGTCTGCGACACCAGGAGACGCTCGGAGGATTGCATGGGTGTGGCTGCACTTGGGCCTCCGCTCAGGGAAGCCGGCTTCCCTGGGCAGGGTGGGAATTCACCCACACCCAGCAGGGCAATGGCCTGGCTCCAGTCCTCAGAGCTGCCAGAGTCCAGCTACTGGAAAAAACAACACCGCCCCGCACCATCGGAGAATCCAAGAGAAGCCTCTACCTGTGGCAGCTCTGACGATGACACTCATTCTCCTTCTCACAGAGTCAAAACTCAGAATCTCCAGCAACTCAAACCTGGAAAAAAAGGAACTCTCACTCTTTTTTGGGTCTGGACACGAGCTGCCGAGCACGGAGGGCCGCCCAACCGCACCCCAGGACGGCAGCATCCTCTACTCTCCGCGCCCCCCAAGCCTCACAGGGGCCACCTGAGCTGTGGACGCCAGCAGACGCCCAGCTCTGCTCCGCACTGTCCTGGTGCTTGGGGGGATGCTGACCGAGTGCAGCTCTGAGGCCCCTGCCTCAGAGAGGACTGACCACCCGTGGGCACTTGGGCTACTGGAAACTGTCTGCCACCCCTTGGGCTCGGGCCAGCAGGAGGCTGGGGAGAGGCTGCACCCTCTGGCTGTGCAGACGCCCCGGGTCCTCAGCGTACTGCAGGGTGGGTCCTGGTCTCTGCAGTGACCTCACTGCCTGCCCAGGTGGAAGCCAAGACCAGTTAGAAAGCAGGTGGGAACCTTCCTCCCTCAACAATGGCCGTTCAAGAGCTGAGACACACTTGGGCACCCGCAGCTGGGCGAGCGCTGAGGGTTCTGGCTTTCCCCTGCCCACAGGGAGCCCTGGGCCCAGAGGTCTGGGTCTGTAGGGGGGAGCCCACCCAGGCCGAGAGGCTCCCCATTCCCAGTTGTCCATGAACTTATTTTTTATTTAAAACTCAGACTGTTGGAGGCCATCACCACCAAATCCCATGTTCTTTCCAACCTGTCTTAGCCTGTGTCCATTTATGCCATTCCTAAGAAGGAACACCACCGGCCTCCGAGTCAGAACTCAAGATGTGACTTCTGCCTCAGGAGTGAGCTCTTTGATGCCGAGACTGCCCCTGGGCATCAGCTGGCCTTTCTACAGCATAGCTGCGTACTTGGGAGGACTCTGTGCTCCAAGACCAGGGGCTGCTGCCTCAGCAGGGAGGCCGGGGGAGGTTGGAAGGTTCTAGAAGCCCTGAGGATTTCTGTAGCTGGCCCCCAGCTGGTGGTCTACCAGGGGTGATGCAAACCTTCAGGGTCTAGCTGGAAGAGGAGGTCATTGGGGGGTGCACCCTTGAAGGGGACGTCTTGTCCCTGCCCCCTCCTCTCGCTCCCTGCTTCCTGGCCACCATGAGGCGGCAGCTCTGCGCCACCGTGTGGTGCCGCCATGATGTACTGCCTTACACATCCCAGAAACAACAGGGCCAGGCGACCGTGGACTGAAACCTCTCGGATCAGGGGCACAGGCGCTCTTTTCCCCTTTCGCTGACTTCCTCGGGTGTTCTGTCACAGTGCTGGGGAGGGACTGACACAGAGAAGAAGCCTTCCCTGACAAACCCTAGTCCACCCCTCCAGGAAGCCATTGGAGAGACGCCCTGTGCCGACAAGGCCCTCTTTCCTCCCACTCTCCTGTCTCACAGGGCTCCGGAGGTTCTTGGATTCTTCCGGGAAGCAGGGCACCCATGGGAGGACATTTTTCTGAATGGCAAACCCCGCAGGCCCCTCCTCATGGCCGTGCAGCACCTCACCTCTCGATGTCATCGTTCCTGTTGAGAATCTCCATGTAGTTGTCCTTCAGCCGCAGGTATGTGAAGCCGAGCCTGCGGGCGAGAGGCAGACCGGTGAGCGGGGCGCCGTGCCTCCCCACCGAGCACGGCTTTCCTGGGCCAGGGGAGATGCTGTGGGGAGCAGGCTGTGGACTGCACTTCAAAGCCAGCTGGGAGAAGGAGGCGGTCGCCACCTCAGCCAGCGCTCCCAGGACGCACAGCCCCCCCCCCGCCCCCCCGGGTGACCCAGGCTCCTGTGGGTGCCGAGGCTCCCCACCCTGTCTCTGCACACGTCTACTGGACGCTCACAGGCTTGCTCATTGTTGCTCATAGGGAGTACGACGTTGGGACCCAGAGGACCTCGGAAGCTGTCCCCAAGGTTCCTGGGTGGGAGACCCCTCCCCATGCTGCAGTGAGGAGGGGGGACGAGGCCAGCAGGCTCCAAGCTCACAGTGACTGGCCTGTGTCAAGCCTGTGACGTGCACCTGTCCCTCTCCCACTCGCCCCCTGTGCTTCACCCTCTGGATGCAGGAGAAAGCCCACCCCCAGAGGCCGGTGCTCAGCCCTGGACTTGAGGCAGATCTGCAAGAGCAGGCGTCTGCCCTTGTCACACGGGGTGCTCTGCACAGCAGTACCACAGCAGGCAGTCGTCCCCAGACAGCCCTCACATTTGATTGACAGGACACCAGGCCAGGGTGCTGCTCACGCCATGTGATCCCAGCAATACCCTCTCCCACGGCTGAGAGCGCAGCACCATTCCAGGCACCTGCCGGAGAGGGAGGAAGAAGGCCTGGCCTTGGGGCTGACAGATGGACACACAGTGCCAGCCATCATGGTGGGCAGGGGCCAGGAGTAGGGCAGTGGGTCTGCCTACCCCATGGGAGCCTGTGCTGAAGGACAGGACTCCCAGCAGGGGTGCTCTGACCTCGACTGTCTCCCTGGAGTGCGGCTCAGTCCTGAGCGCCTGTTCTCCCAGAAGAGCTAGATCAGCTCTGAGTGGTCCCACCAGTGGGAGTGGGCTTGGGGGCTTCGGAAGCCCACAGTGACGGCATCGCACAGGAGAAAGATGCCGACTTAGAGGCAGCAGGACGCTGCTCGACAAAAAGCGCTGACCCTTCTCCTTGTTGCTCCTTCAGTCTTGGGGTTAACCCATGTCATAGGCAGTACAGAGGGGACCTGAGAGTCACCTGACTCCCAAGCCAGGAGAATCCAGAACGACTTGCCCAGTTTGAAAAAGTGTGGCGCGAAGGGAACGTTTCCAGCATTGCCACTCCAGTCCCTCTGGTGGGGTACGAGATGCACAGGCAGCCAGCAGGCAGGGCCCCAGCATCCATGTCACCCACCAAGCCCTGTGGTTTAGGGGAAACTGCCGCTAGGTCTCGGTTCCTGAGTCCAGGAGGAGACCAGCGCTGGAGGGGATGGGGGTGGCTCCGCCCTCAGGAGTCTGACCAGGACTGTCCTTCTGACATACTGCAGATGGGGGAGCCACGTGAATGACGCCATGAGGACTCACATGCAGCTTCTCCATGAGGCCCCCGAGGTACGGGGCCCAGAGGGGCCTGAGGCCATAGGCAGCTGCTGCTCAGCCCAGGAGCTCAGGACTCATGGGGACGGGTGGTGACCAGGACAGGGGGCGAGGGACCGGGGACTGCCCACAGTGGATCTTGCCGATCAGCTGAGCCCCACCCCACGGCAGCCCAGACCCACCTCTGGATGCCTTCCACCAGCGCCACCTCGTCAGGCGAGGATGATATGTACACGCAGGACTTCCCTGAGTCCGGTGACTTCCTGGGGCCGTCCACCTGGTCGTCATCTTTCACCTGCACAGTGTGGCAGAGACAGAGGGCCCGGAAAAAAAGCTCCTCCCGCTCCTGTGAAAACATGGCCAGGGGAAGTCCATGGCTCACAGCTGCCCAGAACAGGAGGCGCCCGGCAGGACACACCCCCACTCCCATGCTGCCACTCGGAGGGCGGGTGTGAGCGTGTACACGTGTGCATCTTCAGGAGTGTGCCTGTCTGTGCACTCCGTGTGCTCACTGCTCTCTGCATACTGCCTGCCCTGCCTGTTTAGGGATTCCAAGGTCCTAGCATGGAATCACTACTTGTCGTCCCCTAGGGGACACCGGCAGCACAGCAGCATCTGACCAGAACCTCACTGAAGTCCCACGGGGTCCTGCCTCTCCCAGATGCCCCAGGGAGAGGCACACTTTCTAGAGGGGGAGACCACTTCGCACACATGTGCCTAGCATGGTGACACGTTCCTCCCTACAGTGGGCCAGAACCTACCCTCCCACTGACGCCCGGGGAAGAGTCAATCATGTCGATGCCAGAGGAGTCAGGCAGGACCTGCCCGTTGCAGATGACGTGGGGCACGTAGACCTGACCTTCGATGCAGCACTCCTTGAATGCCATGTTGTTCTCTGTGAGTGTGCCCGTCTTGTCCGTGAAGATGTACTCCACCTGCGGGTGAGGCACACACCCTCAGACGCCACCCAGACCTGTGGCCGTGTCACACTGGCCCAGGTGACAGTCCGGCAAGATACAAACATCACATAGCTTGCCCCAGACAGATGTAGAGCCGTGGGCGTGTCCGTTGAACCCCCTGGCCATTGGGACAGATGTGATGTGGTGGGGAGCACGGTGACAATGGATGGGGAACGGTGACCTTGCAGGACATTGCCTCGTGGAGCCAGTGCATCTGAAAGACCAGGGTGAGGATGGCCCATGTCTCCTTCAAACAACAAAGGGCACAAAGGAAACCTTCCTCTCTAAAGCCTTGGGGTCAAGACTCACGAGGCCACGCAGGGTCAGAGACAGAAGCCAAACGAGTGAGAGGGCAGACTTCAGAAGGACAGCCCGACAGGCCACAAAGACGCTGCTAGTTACACCTGATTCAGGTAAAGCAGAGGAGCGTGTTCACGGTGAGCAGCTGGGCAGATGCCGTGCGCACAGCTCCCGGGGGGAGGGTGAGCTGGGCTTGCGGCAGGAAGGAAACTCAGAGAGGTGGAAAGGACTCAGCCGTGGGCTCCACGGCTGAGTGGAGGACCTTTTCCACCCAGGTCTTTCAGGAAGATGCTCTGACAAACCGACAGCAGAAAGTGCCTTTCCGTCGTGAGCTTGTCCTTAACCAGCACTGCGTCCTGACCTGCTGAATCAGCCCTGCCACTGGGACACCAGCCAAAGCCCAGCGGAGCCTCCCCAGGGACACACAGCTGGGGCCAGAGAGCACTGGCTATCCCCAAGACCCCACAGAGGCTGCTGGCCTGCGACCCCTCACAGGCAGTTGTTGGGAGGTCAGCAACCTCAGGAGGGTCAGACCTCTGAAGGAGCGCCTAGTAGAGGGCTCCATGGACAGCACCCCTGACTTACCCAAGCCCCCTAAGGTGGGCAGATCTCCGACATGCTTTCCCACGTGTGATTTCACGGAATTCAGATTAAAGTACTGCTAAACCCCAAGGCTGCCTTGGCAAGGGTGAAAGGGGCAAGAAAAATGATAAGACCTGCCGTCCCCACACCATGGGTCCACCCTCTACCTGGCCTCCTGCAGAAGGGAGCTTGCACTGCAGGTGGCATCTGACTCCACAGCCTGCAGCATGACCCGAGGGGCCTGTGTTCAGGGGCAGCACCAAGGTGCTGGGTCAGGCTTTGGAGCCTCAGTCTTGCACTGGTGAAATGCAGGCGGCAGCGCTGACCTCTAAGGAAACACACACGGGCACTGGGAGGGTGGGAGCCGGTTCTGCCTCACTGCTAAACACCCATCTCAGTCTGCTGTGAAAGTGGCACTGTAACCTGGCCGTCGGGGAAGACCCTCACTCTCAACCTGCCCCTCGGTTCTGACCTCGGGGCCCACACTCTGTGCCTCCTGCTGCAGCTCGTTTTGCTCAGAACCAGACAGGACCGCGATCCCGTCCCAACAGACTCCAGGAGGGAGGAGAGACCTGCAGCCCTGGGCCCGGCTCGACATTGCTCTTCCCACAGAAAAACCCCTGCCACGGAATTTCTCAGGAACACATGAAATAGGATTCGGGACTCCAGCGGCGAAGACCTCACCCCTGAGCTAAGACCTGGGCAGCACTGAAGCAACAGTGACCGGCCCGTCCCGGGAGCGGCCAGAGGAACGTCCAGTGAGACAGCAACCTGCCTGTCACAGGAGGAGCCATTGGAACGTCCAATAAGTCAGCGACCGGCTCCCTCATGGGAGGAGCCACAGGAATGTCCAATCAGAAAGCGACCCGCCCCTCATGGGAGGAGCCACAGGAATGTCCAATCAGAGAGCAGCCCGCCCCTCACAGGAGGAGCCATAGGAATGTCCAGTTAGACATCAGAGCACAGTCCCACCTCTGAGGGCAGTGCCCCCTCACAGGAGGCAGGTCTAGGGTCCCAGGCAGAGGCTAACCACCCATCAATAGCCTCTGCTGGGGTCCTGGGGGTGGGAGGGGTCAGGACGCAGTTGCCAGTCTAAAGCGTTGCTTTAAGGCTACTGAATTACACAAGGCGGTGAATTACCTTGGGCCACCTCCAAATGGTGACAGAGCAGAAAAGGCTAGACTGGGGCTGTGGGAAGGCCACTGTGAGGCCAGTGAGGACGAAGGAACCCCCTTCCTGTGGTTCTCCCATGCAGGGCAGTGCTGCGGATCTGCAGGCCTGGCGTACACAGCTGTGCCCTCACACTGTGGGGACTTTGGCACCTCGGCTGGGGGTAAGGGGGCAGCGACAGTGACCCCATCCGTGGCCATTCCCAGACCCCACAGAGGACACCTCGCGTCCACTTTTTTGTGTGATCTGCACCACAAGCTGGCAGGGCCGTCCCCACGGCACAGAGTACAGACCCGATGCTAGGGGTGAGGCATGGGGCCATGAGGATGCCCACGTCCACCTGCCATCTCTAGAGAGGCACCTGGTTCTTCAGCTCACACCATGAAGGCCCAGAATGAGCAAGGTCACGGATGGGCTAACCAGGGCCGCTGACACAACTGACCTTGCACACGCTATGAACACGAAAGCCCTACCAAAGGCCGCGCAGAGTCCATGCCAGCGCGCGCGTCTCTCACGGGTCACAGGAGAGCCGACGTGCATGAATCCCAATAGAGACAGCTCACCTACCACCAGCGGGGCCACAGCACAGGCATCTTGCACCTGCACCTCTGGACACAGGGGACAGCACTAACCCTTCAGGAAGAATCGGGCGACACTGACCTGACCCAGCTCCTCGTTCAAGTCGGACGTGTTGACCAGAGGCCCCTCTCCTGTCTCCTCGTCGAACATGTCCTCATCCCAGCTGATGAAGTAGGATCCAAGGAACTTCTGCATCTCCACGGTGACGTACATGGACACGGGGATGATGTAGTTGAAGAGCACCATGAAGGCCAGGAAGTCCGTGAAGGCCCTGAGGAACTGAGCACACAGCTCCTCAGTACCCACGTCCCCCAGGGCCAAGCCTCATGCAGGGTGCAGGCGAGCCAGACTGCCTGCCCAAGTCCACAGTGAGGGCTGCTGGGCAGCAGGCCACGCCTGGTCACATCCTCACCCAGGCCAGGGGCAGACTTTGCCTGTCAACACAAGCGTGCCACCAGGGACACGGCGCCACACAGGCTGACCGGACGGAGATACCAGATTGGAACATCCGTGACAAACAGCAGAACTCACCAAGAGAAAACCTAGGAGATGCCAGAGACGTGAGCCTGGTAAAAGGACCGACCTGTGTGGCTTTATTCCATGCGTGCAGCCAGGTTAGTTTTGGGGAGGGCAGGCTGTTGCACACAGCAAAGACACGGCACGAGGTTTGCACACGGCCCTGCTCTGCCCTCTCTGCCCACAGGCCTGGGCGAGCACACGGGGCAAGGTCTACACACGACCTTGCTCTGGAGTCTGAGCCCCTCTCTCCCTGTGCTTGTCTCAGCAGGTGCCATCTATCCCCAAATCGCTGGCAAGCATTTCCTGAGCACCTGCGAGCACAGGGCACTGGGCAGGTCTGCAGCCCAGGAAGGCCTCTCAGGCGTGGTCCTGAACATCTCCCAGGGGGACCAGCGCCCTGGGTGTGTGCTCCTGACACCCGAGGACGGCTCAGGGTCGATGCCCCACTATGGCAAGGACCCCCCACCATGTGCTGGCAGCAAGCCTGACGGCCACCCCTGCCCTGAGGAGGGCGTCCTCCATACCAGGTTCCGCTGCCTCTCCGACTCGGTCTTCTGGTTGTACCAGGGCTCATCCCGGAAGGGCTCGCTCTGCCACACGTACTTGAGCACAGTGTTGACCAGCGCCTTGCTCACCAGAATGCAGAGGTAGACGATGAGGAACACATTCATTGACCTGCAACGCCACGCCAGAGTCATGCGGGCTCCCTGCCGACGGGGGGCTCCACCGGCCTCTCTCACACAAGGTGGGACAAGCGGGACGTGCGGGCCGTGTTTCCAAGGAGGTGCCCGGCTAGTGCCCAGCTGTGTACACTGTATCATCACTAGCTTGGAATCCAGAGACCACAAGGCCAAGAGTCTAGGACAGGAAGACGGTCAGCAGGAGGGATGCTGCACCCAACCCCACTTCTGAGGACGCCACCTGAGCACTATTGGGGCACTGAGCACTACGGGACACTGAACACTGTTGGGGCACTGAGCATTGCAGGGAACTAAGCACTGTGGGGGACACTGAGCACTGCAGGGCATTGAGCACTCTATAGGCACTGAGCACTGTGGGGCACTGAGCTCTGTGTGGGCACTGAGTACTGTGTGGGCACTGAGCACTGTGGGGGCACTGAGCACTGCGGGGCATTGAGCACTCTATAGGCACTGAGCACTGCGTGGGCACTGAGCACTGCGTGGGCACTGAGCACTGCATAGGCACTGAGCACTGTGGGGCACTGAGCACTGCGGGGCACTGAGCACTGTGTGGGCACTGAGCACTGTGTGGGCGCTGAGCACTGCGGGGCGCTGAGCACTGTGTGGGCACTGAGCACTGTGAGGCTCTGAACACTGCGTAGGCACTGAGTACTGTGGGGGCACTGAGCACTGCGGGGCGCTGAGCACTGTGGATGCACTGAGCACTGTGGATGCACTGAGCACTGTGGAGGCACTGAGCATAGTCGGAGCACTGAGCACTGTGGGGGCACTGAGCACTGCGGGGGCACTGAGCACTGTTAATGCACTGAGCTCTGTGGAGGCACTGAGCACTATTGGGGCACTGAGAATAGTGGGGGCACTGAGCACCATGGGGGCACTGGGCACTGCGTAGGCACTAAGCACTGTGGGGGCTCTGAGCACTATTGGGGCACTGAGAATAGTGGGGGCACTGAGCACCGCGTAGGCACTAAGCACTGTGGGGGCTCTGAGCACTGCAGGGCACTGAGCACTGTGGGGCACTGAGTACTGTGGATGCACCGAGCATAGTGGGGACACTGAGCACCATGGGGGCACTGAGCATAGTGGGGGCACTGAGCACCATTGGGACACTGAGCACTGTGGGGCACTGACTGAAGGGCACTGAGCACTGCAGGCCCATAGAGGCCTAGCTTTGGCAAAGGGCTCGGCAAGTCTAAGAAGGGCTCCTTCCCAGTTCCCACCATGCACTTCTGAAAGCCCCGAGACATGCAGACATCTGGGGACAAAGGCCTCCTGCCCTTGACGAGTCCGTCTCCCTCTGCTCCGTGCAGCCATGGAAGACAGAGACCCAGTGCCTTCAGAAGCCACACAGGTGTCCACTCCAGGAGGGACACACTTTTACCAGGGGCAGAGAAAACAGAACTCCAGGCCACACCTTCTGGCGAATCCACTACTACCTTGACCCAGCTGGAGGGCCTCACTGTCTAAGGAGGACAGCTGCCTCTGCTAAGGGCTCCTTAGTAAAACCATGTCCAGACCTCTGTCTGGAGGTCTCTCCCCTGGCGGAAGGAGCTGCGGGGCACCACGGCCCACTGGGAGCCAGGACTTAGGGAGCCTCCAGGAGCAGGTGCACCTGCTGGGCCTCGGGCGCTGAGGCTAGGCCAAGCAGGGGAGCCCTCTACCTCACAGAAAGATCAGCAAGTCCCCCCGAGTGGTCAGCCGTGCAGCTACTCCACACTGCCTCCAGCACCTCGGAGGAGCGAGGCCAAGGGGACAGTCTGGCCTCCAGTGGCTGACCAGGGCATGGCCACGGCACAGCCGTCACCCTTGCCCCGACCCTTACTTTTCCACGGCAGATCTCTTCTGGGATTTCGACTGATAGTTCAAGGCCATCTTGGTCTCCATGCCTGTGTAGATGGCCACACCTGAAAGCAGAAGGGTAACGCGATGGCCACGCGCAGAGGCATTGGCCTGCGCACGGGCCACATGGCCTGGTGGGATGGACTCTCAGGCCAGACAGTGGCACTTCTCATTGTGCCAGACAAGGGGCTGCCCCTGAGTCACCATGGGGGTTTTCGAAGACTTTCCTGCACAGAGGACAACTGCAGTTTGAGAGTGCACCATAACATCAGGTGAAGAGTGACGTCTGCAGGGTCTCTGCAGCAGCGCACACTTGTGTATTTAAACAGTCGTCTCGTGTGACTGAAACGGGACAGCCTGCCAGAACCGGGCGGTTGGCAAAGTCCCGTGTGTGCAAGGGCTTCCCGCAGGACCCTTGGGGTCCTCCCCAGATACGACGTTGTTTCTGAGTCACAAACCACATGTGCCTCGTGAGCAGGCCTATTTTTTGCATGTGGCGTTGTGGGTCGCTGTCACCCGTCAGCACAATGTCCTCAGTGAGGCACAGCTGCCACCGTAAAGGACACAGCACCCCAGCCCTGTGTACGGCAGCCTTGTTTTCAGAAGCGGGACCAGCAACTACTAATTAAAACATTTACCAAAGATCTTCTCAGTGTTCTTGAGCGTGGCTCCTCGGAGAAGCAGGTTTTCTGATCCCAGTGGCCTGTGAAGACAAGGTCAGGCACAGAACGTGAAGCAACAGAGGCCAGAGGCAGAGGACAGTGGAGGCTCCAGTGTCATGGCAGGTCACCGAAGCCAGCCAGGTCCCCAAGGAAGTATGGCTGCCGGGCCCTCCACTGCCCTTGGAAGTGGGACCCCAGGCCCTGACCCGGGCCCAGAGTCTGAAAGCTGCCACAGAGTCCTGCTAGGAGCCATAAGGTGGCCCCTGGGTATCCCAACAGTGTCACGTCAGAAAATCCAGATCTACTGCATCTGAGGCCCTGGGGCAGTCCAGCACCCGTTCCCCACGAGCCAGCGTCTGAGGATGGCTGCTCTAGGGACCCCAGAATGTTCTGGAAAGGCCAAGGGTGTGCGTTTTGTTCAAACTTGAGCTGTTTCCATCACAACCTCGTGAGACTTGGGAGTCTCTTCAGTGCCACCAGGTTTGAAGGTGACAGCTGGGAGGCTGTGGCCTTTGTGATCCCTGGGAGTCAGGCTGCAGAAGGGGCCTGGAGGAAGGGACCTGAGGGGAGTTTCTGGGGGAAACAAGCAGCAATGGAGGTCAGGGTCACTCCCTGAAGCCCGAGCACTGCTGCAGGCACGGGCCCCGTGGCAGCAGACGCTGTTCCTGGGGCTTTGCCCTCCAGTGGCTCCTGGATGACGCCACGCTCGTCTCCTGAGCAGTGGCCGCGATAGGCAGAAGGCGCGTGTGCACATTTTGCTACTGACAACACCCTACCGATCCCTTGGAGGGCAGGAAGAGCTGCTAGGACCTGCTGGGGCTGTCTGCTGGTGGGCTGATGTCCCTACGCTATGGAGGGGGAGAACCGCCAATGTCACATACGTGACTACGTTCAGTGACTTGGCCTACGCAGCTCTGCTTCACCGGCTGGATGACCGGGAGGCCTCGGGCCAAGGGGCACCGCGCGGAGGAGCACCCCAGGCGCGCAGCTGGCATCCTGCTGCCCCGGCCAGACAGCCACTAAAGACATGGCTCCTGGGGCTGTGCAGAGCTGTCAGCTTCTGTTAGCAGCACACTTGGATAATCGATGTCACAAGCACTTATGAAAACAAACGGCCCGTTTAGAGTGGGTCTCTGGGAAGTCTAAAAATAATTTACTTGAGAAAGTGCTTTGCTTCTTGTTTGAAGAGAACGAAGAAGAACTATCCCTCTGTGTGACTGAGGATTGGACAGGTGGCTAACAGCCTCCATGTTTTCGACAGCTACAAATATCTTTAAAACCCCAGGTATTAAAAGGTGTACTGAACAGTACAAATATTAGAAGGCCAAACTAGAATTGGTGTCAGTATAACCCGGCAGCCGTCACCCTCTGAGGCACCTGGCATCACAGCGACAGCAGGAGGTCTGGGAAGCCACCTCAGATCCACCCACAGGTGACGAGGCCCCATCTACCTCCTCATTCATGTACCAACCAACCCTCACCACTGAGAAGGAGGCTCTCTTTCAGAGCAACCAGGGACTTACCTTGGTTCAATATGTACCCAGGAAAGCCGAAGCCACGCCCCACAGACCTGGACAGCACTGGTCAGCCCACGGATGGGCGACAATGAGACCTGCTAAGCCCCACGGCTGTCTGACCCAGGCCTTCCAGGGGATCCCAGGGGCTGGTACCTCAGTAACTGCTTTGTCTGATCCCCCCCGAGTCTGTCCCTGACAATCTGGAGACCGCCTGAATTGGAAGACAGACCCCTTCTCGGGCCAAGGGACTTCCCAGAAAGGGGCAGCTCTCAAACACACTCAAGTCATGTTCCTAGAACGTGCCACTGCAGACAACTGCCAGTCCGCAAATCAGACACAGCCCCCAAGACCACAGACAGCGCTCAGCAGGGACAACTGACGGCGGCAGCCAGGGCCTCGGTGGCTCATGGTGCTGCTGCCCCATGTGGGTGTGCCACATGTGACCACAGCGGCCAGGACCACGGCGACAGAGCCGGTGCATGCACCCAGCCCCCAGATGCTCCTGGTGTCTGGCCCTGAGCCCAAAGGTCACCCTGGGGTGACCTCAAGCAGGTGTACACACTGGTAAATATCCTCCAAACCAGCAGCCTGCAACCTCAGGGCTGAGGCCTACCAGTGTGCTTGCTGTGAGAGGTGCTGGCCACCCTTCCTCTGGGCATGTCCCTCAGGCTCCCTTCCCGACCTGGTCCAGCCCAGGCAGTGACCCTCCAGGGGGCCACGCTCAGGGCAGACCTGCTCAGAGCGTTCCGGGGCACCTCAGTTAACCTGCACAGATGCACACCTGGGAAGCAGCCAGGAGCAGAACCGGGCATTCCTCAGGGGACCCCACCATGAAGGCTGCGGGTGGCCAGCCCTCCCCCGTGAGGAAGGAGCCCTCCCCCATGAGGAAGGAGCGCTCCCAGAGCAGCAGGGGGGCCATGGCCACGGCCACTCACCTCACCACAGGGTCGTTCAGATCGCTGTACACATTGATGCGGCCCACGAACCTGGAACAGAGAAGCCAGTCACGGTGCTGCCCTCGGCCCTCCTGGGGTGCACTGGCCACTGGCCGCTGGCCCGCCCTGGCCCTGGCCTCTCAGTCTGTTCTCCCCGCCAGGATCGGGTGGCCTTCCTTAACTCCACTTACAAGTTACCTCCTCAAAATAAACAGACTTCGCTTTTCCTCAACACTTAACCCACGGGCCTCTTCCAGCGTTTGCATAAAAAGTAACAGAAGTGGCCTCGCGCGCCTGTGGACAGTCCAGCCCCGCCTGCCAGTCAGTGCTCCCCGAGGCCCGCCCGCCGTGCGCCTCCAGGGCCTTACTTATACAGGTCGGGCTGCGGCTGCTCACACTCGATGGTGGCATGCAGGCGATCGACGTCCTCCTCCGTGTGGAAGCCCTTGGTGTCCTGGACCGCGTAGTGTGTCTGCAAAGTGACAGGGGCACTAGCTCACCACCCAGCCTGGCGCCACGCTGGCCGCCCACCCGGGAGCAGCCCCCGCTGGTGTTTTCAGTGCACACACACAAGCCCAACGCAGGGCCAGCGTGACACCGGGAGACGTGGGAGGGGAAGCCTGTGTCTGCTCACAGCCTGGAAAGACCCGGCAGCACCGTCTGCCCCCGGCTTGAGGCCAGGAAACGCCAACTCTCCAACTCTCACCTAAACACTAGCACAGCAAAGAAGCCGGCTGGGATTCTCCAAAATTGGACTGTTGGACTCATCTGTCCCAGTAGTAGCCACTAACCAGGCCAGTGGCCTGTGCTTCCCAGGGCCGGCCTCTGGCTGCACTTGGTTTACCTCCCCACTCTGCCACCGCTGCCCTCGCCTGTCATCACTGGGCCGGCATGGCTTCTGAGTGACCGTGGGTTGCCTGGACCAGAGGGCCACTCAAGCCCACGCACACATCGGAGCCACAGGAAGCTGCCAGGCCACTGCTACAGGCTGGCCCCTGGCTTCCCACAGAGCAGCCCCAGGGCTGTGTTCCTAAGGGGAGCCTGGTGATGCCCATGCTGCCGTCAGAGCCAGGAGCTGGCACCTGCTGCCCTAGCACCTGTGGCAGGGACAGGAGGGCCAGGGGCTGCAGCTCTCCCCTGGAATGAAGGAAGGACTATGTCCAGGAGTCCGGAGGGGAGGCAGTGCCCAGTGTCTCCTTTTCCTCGCCTTTCTAAGGATCAGGCACTGGGCAGACACACAGTGAGCTGTCCCCACCTCCCGGGGCACTTGCTTCCCTAGTCATGTCCCCACAGACCCCGAGAGGAGGTCTGTTCCCGGCTCACACACGGGAAAAGCCCCTGCAAGGCCCACGTAGCACAGCTCCCCGGACATCAGCTGGGCCTCCCACCCCACGCTCTGCCCTCAAAGACAGGGTTCCCATAACTCCTGCCCCGGAGCCAAACCAAATGCAGGGGCGTGACTTCAGGGAACAATTAACATGCAGAGTGCAAAGGCAGAGTCCGCCAGCAGCGACTCTGACCTTCAGTCCTGGGGAGGGACAGGCCACTGTGCTTTCCCCCAGTAGAGCCAGATGCCTGGGCCCAGGGGCAGGTCCAGATAGCAGGCCTCTGCCAGGGGGTGGGAGGGCTCACGGGTCCCAGGGTTTCTGACCTGGTCCTCCCAGGCTCACACCCGAGCCCAGCACTGTCCAGAGAAGCCACTGCCCCATGGACTGTCACTATGGAGAAGGCTAATCCTCCTAGGATGCACTACAGAGAAAACATGAACACAAAACTGAAAAGAGTCCACGGGCTTCACACTAAGACACGGCAGATGACCATGGAAGGCTGGCATGTGCATCCGTGATCCCGTAAAGACAAGGCTTCCACGCAAAGTTTCTAACTGCTCTCACCCAGGAGTGGTCCAGCACCAGGCTGGAGCCAGCACTCACAAGCCAGGGGGCAAGCTCCTGTTCACAGCTCTTTGGAAACTTCTGGGAAGGGTGCCCTATTTTCTCTGACGGTGAAGTTCCTGTAGCACAGCCCCAGCACAGCAGCCATGCTGAGCCCACAGGCTAGTTAGGGTTTCAGAGGATTCTTCCCGTGTTAGCGAGGCTCACTCACGTAGCACTCGGGCAAGACCTCAAGCTGCGGAGCCTCCACTCAGCTCTTGGCGAGGAAGGACACCAACTCTGACCAGCGGAGTGGAACCTTAACATGGACAGACCTCCTGGAGCCCTGAACTCAGCCCACCGGCTGGACCGCCCAGGCCAGCATGCGAGTTACTTGTCACCTGAGATAGCTCGGGGGAAAGACATGGGGGGCCGGCCCCGGTGCCCCAGAAGGAAGGGGCCCTGGTGGCCCTATGCCCCAAGGACACCAACTGCCATGGCAGGTCAGCATCCGTAGCCATAGCTGAGTCTGGACACCAGGCCCAGAGTGCATCTTGACATGGGGACGTTACTTTATGGCTTGACTCCCCATCCAAGCTGGCAGTGGTGACGTGGCAGGTCCCATCTCCACGGTTGCTGGAGAGGAAGATCAAGTCACAGGGAAAGGTCTCATCCTCCTTGACCATGACGATGTCCCCAACCTGCAGGGCAGAGAGAGGGGCGGTTGGCCAGCGCTCAGCCTCTGCGATGGCCTGGATCCTTCTCCTGCAGCCAGGTATCACAGACACGGTCACAGATCAGAGTGGTCCTTCAGAGTCAGGAGCACCTGCAGAGGAGCATGCACGCCCCGAGGCAGGCGCCGTGTTCTCATGGGCTTCCTAAATGCCTGACAGCAAGCCTTCTGGAGCCTGCATCCGCCCCAAGGTGGGGAGAGGGGCTGTGGTCATGTCCTGAGGTACACACCGACCCAGGGCCTGTCACACTCCCTGTGCCTTGTGCTGCCCCAAGGCAGGACAGATGGCAGAGCCTCAGGAGAGGATGGGAGGGGGCAGCAGGCCAGGGCAGGGCCAGGGGTTCATGGAGGGTGGGGACGCTAGGGCTGGAGTCTAAGCTCACGGTCAGGATAGGCCAATGCTGGGGGCCAGCCACAAGGCTAGGAACAGGTGCTTCAGAACATAAGGCTCTAAAGGGATCTGCTTAAATAATTCAAAACACCTCTAAACACGGCAGGATGTCTGTCTCTGCCAGTCCACTGAGAAGTTATTCAAAACGCTCTTGTAGACTGCTATCCTATTGATTTACAGCAGGCACATGTGATTTAGACTAGGCCCACGTGATGTGAACCAGGCACACACACGTGATCTAGACCAGGCACAGGTGGTCTAGGCCATGCACATATTTCAGCGGTCACTCTGAAAACAAGGCACATGTGATTAGAAACAGGCATATGCTTTAGACCAGGTACACATGATCTGGACCAGGCAGGCATGGTCTAGACAGGGGCACGTGTCGGCTGTCACTTACTCTCAGCTTCCGGCTCTGCTTGCGGACGAGCTTGCCGTGCTGGATGAAGTGCACGGGACACTGGTTCATAGCATTGTCGGCCTTGTGACGGAGCCAGTCCTCGTAGCCCTGGAAGCCAGGCAGAGGAGAGCAGGTGTCAGTCACGCCTCCCCTAAGCCCGGGGGTGGGGTCTCCAAGGTCCAGCGACTGTCATGAATGTCTTACAGCTACCCACTGCCCACACCCACGACACACCCTGGGGACCACCTCCTAACAGATGAGCAAGTGATCAGCCTGTGTGTGACACACCAAACCCTGCAAAGGCTCGCTGGGGCGGCAGGTGCTGGCCAGCACTCCCGACCCTGCTGTCTGCTCTCCTGGAGGGTCTGCTCTCTAAATGAACTTCCAGACTGCCGTGGGGGAGAAACATAACTCAAAGTAACACCAGGGAACTCTCAAGGGCTCCTCACAGTTTATATTAAAAAGCAAATCCAGACATCCTCACATCGAGGCCTGGACACCAAGGAGGAGAACGTGCAGCCCTCACCTGTCCTGAGTGCAGCTCCACCCCACACTACTCCAATCTAGAGTGAATCCGTACATGGCGCCTCCAGGGCCCTTTCCTCTAATGGCTGGGCTCACTGCATGTCACTGGTAACATGCTTTAGGCTTTAAAAAAAGACTCACACTGAAAAAGCACAGCTTTGTCAGCACAAATTTGAGCATCAAGAATTTAATTAGAAATTGCCATTTGTAAATCATCCAGATGTCTCACATGAAAAACTGACTCAAAAACACTGAATCAAGTCCACAGGGTTCATCCATTTGCAGCAGATAAAGAACTTGTGTCTGCAGTGAATGGAGAATTCTTACAGCTCACCCATACAAAAGGAAGCCCATGTAAAAGTCAGCAAAGGGTGTGCAGGTATTTCTCTAAAAATGATGCAGAAATGGCCAATGAGCATGTGAGAAGCATCACTGGCTGCTAGGGAAACACCAGTCAAGATGCCACGTCACAAATGTGAGGACGGCTGTGGTCAGGAGCTGGCACCCAGCACTGGCAGATCATGGAGCCAGCAAAACCTGCCTGCCGGTGTGTGACGCATGGTGTGGGAGCACTCAGGGACTCCTCGCCACCACTCAGACCGCAGAGCAATTCCGAGGCGTATGCCCCAAGGAGCGAAGCCTTGTGCACCCATCAATGTGTAAGATATACAATTATTAAGTGTCAGTTAAAACAAACAAATGGGAAAAGAGACCTATATCCACCCAAGATGCACACACGTGTTCTAAGCAGCATTCGCCACAGCCCAAGGCGGAAGCCCCACCCACCTGGCCTCAGATGGTGGGTGAACTAGCTGGTGCACTGTTCATATTAAAAAGCATTGTTTTTTTGAACTAGCATCGCTTGTGATGAAGCACCAGCACCCCAGGTGGATAGGGACCACACACTGTGTGATTCTGCAGGGCGTACTGAGTTGGTCTTTGCCAGGGGCTGGGAGAAGAGGAACCGCAGGATGATAGCTGATGGGAACAGGCTTCTTTTTGGGGTGACAAAAGTTTTCTTGGAGTAAAGAGTGCTGAGGATGTACCACTAAGCTGGGGAAAATGCTCAGTGAAACCTACGTTCCCAGTGTCAGTCCTGGGCTTCACCCATCAGGACGGAAGGACACGCCGCACCTCAGGGGTCAGCACTCCGTGATCCACACCCACCACCTGCACAGGACATGCAGCAGCTATGTCACACAGCTGAGCCAGGGACCTCTCTGGTTGGCTCAGAGCACGGAGACCAATCATCTCAGATGGGGGCACCAAAAACGCAACCAAAGCTCTCATTCTGCCTCAAGCGTCAACCTGAAAAACTACGGAAGTGAACTCTTCCACATGCCAGCTGCAACAAGCGAGGCTGCCTTGCTTCGAGTTTAAGGTGGCATTCATGACAAAGCCAGAGGCAGCCTACCTTCCCGTCTGTGGCACTCTCACCTGTTTGATGGCGGTGACAGTGATGACAAAGAACAGCGGGAGTCCACTTGTCACGGGACTGGTGGGTGTATCGATGATCAGCTGCAATGAACACAGCCAGGGAATCATTCTCAAACAGCTGCAGCAATCACAGACAGCTGATGACCCCGCTCCACACCAACCCCACCACCACCTCCACCTCCACCTCCACCTCTACCACCACCTCCACCTCCACCATCGCCACCTCCACACCACCCCTACAAGTATCTCCACTACTGCTTCCACCACCGGAACTACTATCTCTACCATCCCCACCACCACCTCCACCTCCACCACCACCTCCACCTCCACCATCAAAACCACCTCCACCATCACCATCAAAACCACCTTCACCTCCACCACCACCTCTACCTCCAACCACTACCTCCACCACCACGAGAACCATCTCCACTACTACCTCCACCATCAGAGCCACCTCTATCACCACCTCCACCATCTCCACCTCCAACACCACTATCTCCACCTCCATGACCACCTCTACTTCTACCACCACTTCCACCTCCACCAACACCACCACCACCACCTCCATCAACCTCTACCTCCACCACTACCTCCACCATCACCTCCACTTCCATCTCTACCACCACCACCACTCACCTCCACCACCACCTCCACATCTACCTCCACCACCACCTCCACATCTACCCCACCATCAGAACCACCTCCACCATCAGAACCACCTCCACTTCCTCCACCATCGGAACCACCTCCACCTCTACCCCCACCTCCACACCATCACCACCAGCATCTCCATTACCACCTCCACCACTAGAATCACTCTCTCTTCCACCACCACCACCATCTCCACCTCCTCACTACCGCCACCAGCATCTCTACTACCACCTCCACCATTAGAACCACTATCTCCTCCACCCCACCCCCACCTCCACACCACCCCCACCAGCATCTCTACTACCACCTCCACCACTAAAACCACCATCTCCTCCACCTCCACCACCACCAGCATCTCTGCTACCACCTCCACCATTAGAACCACTATCTCCTCCACCTCCTCCACCAATACCACCACCACCACCACTAGAACCACCATCACCACCATCTCCACCTCTACACCACTCTCACCAGCACCTCCACTACCACCTACCACTAGAACCACTATCTTCTCCACCACCACCACCACCACCACCACCTCCACACCACCCCCACCAGCATCTCTACTACCACCTCCACCACTAGAACCACCATCTCCTCCTCCAACACCACCACCTCCACACCACCCCCACCAGAATCTCCATTACCACCTCCACCACTAGAGCCACCATCTCCCTCACCACCACCACCACCACCACCTCCACCTCCACACCACCCTCACCAGCATCTCCACTACTACTTCTACCACTAGAGCCACCATCTTTACCACTAACCCCTCCATCAGAACCACCATTTCCACCTCCACCATCAGAACCACCATCTCCACCACTACCACCTCCACCTCCACCACCATCTCCACACCACCCCCACTAGCATCTCCACTAGTCTCCCTGAACCATCTCTACCACCACCACCCCCGAACACCTAGACCATTTCTACCTCTATATCTCCCCCATCAGCATCAGCATCACCACCACCATCTCCCAACTACCTCCACATCTCCACCTCCATCACCAGAACCACCATCCCTACCACTCCACATCCAGCTCCACCACCTATACCCACACCCGCACCGTCACCTTTACTTCCCAACCCCCTCATTGGCTTCTACCTACTTAAAGCACTTTGTGGAGCTCACTTTACCCTCTGACAGAGGAGCATTGGGCAAGAGGCACGTGGCCTGTTCTGCTGGCTTTCGCAGATTACAGTCATTTTGTGAAGGGGTGTGCTGAAGGAAGCCATGTGTGGTAAGTGGCAGAGACCCAAATCTGGTGCATGCTCATCTGAAACACTGCCTCTGGGGTCACGCTTCCATTGCATTACTTGGGTAATTCAATGTGAGGGAAATTGAAAACCACTGGCTGGTATTCTGTATGACAGAGAAGCTGGACGGTGTTCTTGACAGACGTCTGCTCCCCAGTCATGCCCCAGCCATGCTGTCTCTCTGTCTCGTCTCTTAGTCTCTTCCTGTTTCTTTTATTTTGGTTCTGGGGATTAAACCCAGGGGTGTGAGCTACATTCCCAGCTCTTTTTATTTTTTATTTGAGACAGAGTCTTGCTAAGTTGCTGAGGCTGGCCTCAAACTTGCCATCCTCCTACATCAGTCTCCAGAGTTGCTGATGTCAGGTGTGTGACTTCTTTGGATTTTCTCTGAAGTACCACACACGCAGAAAGAGAATGAGCGGAGCAACGTGGCTGGGCTGGGTCCCCCCTGGGTTCCAGGAGAAAGGTGTAGGACAGTCAGCTTGGACACATAGTGATCCCAAGTGTTTTAGCTGAGAAGGGTCTCAGAGAACCAAGTGAGCGAGCCATGGTCACGGGGCACCCTGTCCTTGCTCTTTATTAGAAGCCACACGTCGATTACTCATGAATAAACATCATCTATCTAATTTACATTTGATGAGACAGAAAACAAGATGGGCCTTACCTGTACCAGAAATATGATAAGAAAGTAAAAGTTGGCTATTCTTCTGAATTGTTCAAATAAGTTCTTGGGTATGAAGTTCCAAAACGTGTACTGCGTAAAAGAAAAGCAACACTAAGCGTCGGGATGGTTGTGCCTTGTGCAGTGTCATTCCCACCACACGATAAGCAGCCCAGATTTCAAAGTGCAAAACATTCAGTTTGGACACAAAACTCATAATTCAAAATCTGGTGGAGTTGTTCACCATTTATTAACTTGTTGACCCAAGAAGCTGCTAAAACAGGATGTGCTCTCCAAACCTGCCCCGCGTTGCTGCCTGATTCTGCATTCCCTGGAATCAGGCAGCAACGCGGGGCAGGTTTGGAGAGCACATCCTGCAGTCTGAACTGCAGACCCGCTGGAGAGCGGTTCTACATGAAGACCGGATGCTGCGTAGGCCACTCTCCCACAGCCTCCCTTCCCTTGCTGCCTCCTGCACGCTGACCCAGCTGTGTGACCCAGGCTGGTGGTGGCAGGTGCACATGGCAGGGGGCCACGTCCATGAGGGCAGGTGAGGGCCCGTCCCTTCTTGGCAGGCGCCGGGGACCTGCAGATGGTTCCTGCCTCTGGTTTGCTCCGACCGTTCACTCAGCTCTTGTGCTGAGAGCAATACCTCAGATGCAGCTAACCTACAGCAAGCACTGGGCTTGGGAACTTGCAAACTCGCATCTCCCCCGACTGCAAGCGGAGTCAGACCAGGCAACTGAAAGGCCTGCACATCCTCGCTCACAGGGTCTTCAGGCGCTCTGCTCCCACCCTCAGCAGAGAGCGCAGCGTGGCCTCTGGAGCGGGAACTCGGCCTGCCTCCGGCTGCACCCGGCAAGCCGGCTCTGGCCGTGTGACTGGCCGGCAGTGCGGCTGACAGTGCGCTACCTGCTTCTCCTGCAGTCATGCGGCAAGGAGACCAACTAAGGAACTCTGCCCCGCACCAGCCAGGATGGACGCGAAACACCCAGAACTGGCCTGAAGTCTCAGCTGCTCTTGACCTGAAATGGAGCCAGCCCCAGTGCCCACATGGCTGTCCCCAGAAGGCTCTGAGGCCTGAACCCTGGTCCACCAGGAGGGTGACCGACTCACGCGGAATGGAGGCATGTTTCATCTGTGATTGGGAATAGGGACGTAAAGGGCAGAAAGCCCCCGTGGCTGGAGCGTGGCTGTGGGAGCTGCAGGATCACCGTGAAGCACTGGAGGGCAGGCGCAGCAGAGGGCCTCGGGCTCTGCTGCCAAGCCTGAGTGTCTTCATGAGTACTTTGGGAGTAAGAAGTAACAGTGGCCTATTCTATTCTGCAGGCACCAGCAGAATTAAGTCAACGCACTTGTTGAGAGTGGTCCACGGCCTGGGAATAGTCATTTTAGAGCTTAAACGATAGGACAGACGTGGAAGTCACTTATGCAAATACAAGTCACTGAAACATCCCTGTGTCTACCAACGGGCAGAGATACCAGTGGGCAGAGGTGCCCCTGCTTTCCAATAATGCAAAGTGGCTCAGCGTTCCTCAAGGCCAGGGGTGGCAGTGCAGACGCAGCACTTTAACTCTGCAGCCTCCTGAGGGCCAAGCAGGGAACGCCGGGGTCTTGTGGCCTGAGGTGGACTGGGGCTTGAGGCGGCCATCACCCTCCCGAGCGCCGGTCTCCCCGGGGGTGCTGAGGCAGGACAGGCGGGGCCATGATGGCAGCTGTTTGTTCTTTCCTCTTCTGCCAATGCGTTCCCCAAAGGAACAGAACCCGGACGCACCACGGGGCAGTGCTTCCCCAGCCCCATCTACCAACAGCGAACCTGCCAAGTGCTGTGTGGGGCACTTGAAAAGTCCTAGCCAGAAGTTTGCTTTTATGTCGAAACAAAATGTTCTCCCAAGAAGATACCGAGACGTCGCCACCCACACTCTCCAAATCCAGACACTTGTGTGCCACAAAGTGAACAGCACCTTCCACACCCCGAGCTGTTACCCAAGAGGAGGCAACGACGACTGCTCAAGTGCTGCTCAAGAGTCCCCCAGGGCTCCTGGGAACCGATGCCGCCCAGCACCCCAGGGCACGCCCTCTGCGCCTTCCCTCCCCTCCTGGACCTGGTCACACAGGTGGCTGTGTGCACGCAGATTTCCCTTGAAACTTCCCGTCAGCACCTTGGTGGCCCTGAGATCAGGGTGCCCGCCGCCTCTTGTGAAGGTGAGGATGACTTGGTGGGCAGCCGCTGGCGAGCGCACCCAGCTGAGACGGAAGCTGCTCAGGCTCTTCCCGGTGGGCCGTGGACCACTCTTGACAAGTGTGTTGACTGAATTCTGCTGGTTCCTGCCTGAGAGCTTCTGGGCATGAAGGGCCCTGGTCCCGAATCCCCGCCCAGCCTGGGTGTGGTTTCCTTAATCTAAACCCAGGCCTGGCTGCTCTGGCGAGGCAGGGAGGGGGCAGGGCGTAGGGCCTCTGGGCCAGAGGGCGGTGGGCACAGGAACATTTAAGAAGGAAAACACAGCAGAGTAGGCTAGCCCTGGCACACCTAGAGCGCCAAGGGGCAGGGGTGGGGGCCACTGCTAGGCAGGTGGACAGCACAGCTCAGCTCTCCCAAATCCCAGGGTGCGGGTCAGCGAGGAGCCGGTGCTGGCAGCGCCCCAGCAGCCTGCACAGAGCTTTCGGCCCTGAATGGGACATGCTGGTGGCCGAGCTCTGTGCCTGGGGGAGAAGCCAGGCCAGGGGAGCTGGGTGGCCAGGGCCTACGACACATTCCACACAGGACGTGGCACTGATGGTGTGCGGCTCACAGGTCTGCACAGGGTCCCCACAAGTGCCACCAAGCTCTGCTTGGCACGCGTACTGCGGAGACACTGGTCTTAGGAAACATGCTCATGAGGGGTTCAAATTTCGGGCCTCCTGGGGGCCGGGGAAGCACATGTCAGTGTAGAAACCGCGCTCAGTGAGAGCTGGTGAGCGCGAGTCCTGAACGAGGCCCGGTGCGCCTCAGCGGAGCCCTCTCAGCTCACTCCTGCATCTGGTATCGGGTCTGTGACCACAGAGGATGTCATTTGGTTGGGATTTTGCTTTTGAGCATTGTATGCACCCCCGTCGTGTTTCTGGAGATTACAGCTACTATGATTCCTTGACGCTGCTGTTGCAGGTGGAATAAACCCACGGGAAGGGCTCCGAGGAGCTGGCCTTCCGTATCGTAAAGCATCGTTGTCAAATGTGGGTGCCCACCCTGGATGCCACGTGGGCACCGAGCAGTGTGCGCAGGCTGACGCGTCAAGGAGTGGACGAAGCAGGTCTGGCTCTGGGCCCCAGGGCCTACACCTCGGCACACCACATGCACGCTGGCAGCCGTGAGCTCAGAAAGCACCAAGCCTGCAGCCACGTCCCTGGTCAACTGTGGTCACGCGGGCCAGGGCCAGGGCCAGGGCTACCTTGGAGGAGACGATCCTGTTGTCAGGGTATCTCTGTGGAATGTAGGCCTCTGCTCCCGGAGGCGGCTCCTTGTGTCCCACGTAGATGGTCCTGCTGTCCACCCAGTTCTCCTCTCCTGCACACTGTGGGCAGAAGAGAGGGTCCGTGAGCACCTGGGGATTGCCCCGCAAGTTCCTCCTGGGCCCATTCGTCTGAACCCAGAGGGTCCCACTGACCCAGAGGGCCGCAGGGAGGACCTGGCCCCACTCCAGCCTCAGCACTGCTCCCTGCCCTAGAATGAGGGCATCTGCTCCCCGGACAGTCCCCCAGGTGGCACCCGGCGTGCTCCCCGCGGGGTGCTCCCCGCATGGCTGTGAGTGGAGAAGGCATGGGCTGAGTTTATGCGGGAACCTGACAGCAACATCTTAAGGTTTCAGGAAAGAAACACACTTTCCAACAAAATCAGAACACAAACCCTGACTCAGCCATCAGCGTCACTCGACGAGGCTTTCCTAGGAAGAGAGGACACGGGCCTGACGGAGGCCAGATGCTGAGCATGACCCTCAGGGGCAGCAAGGAGCTCTGAACACATCCTTCACGCCCTGTCCAGCCCGACCACAGCCAGAAAGCAGTGGGGACCTGGGCCACCAGGGGGTCTGGTGACCTCGGCCACCAGGGGGTCTGCAGCCCTCACCGCTGGGCCCTCCTCCTCTCCTGCAGGGACTTCCAGACAGTAACCTACACTGGGCCCAGCCAGTCCCATCCCCGAGGGCACAGTCACTGCACCAGAGATGGGCAGAGGCAGGAGCAAAACACAGGCCACACACCCCGCCCGGGGACACCTCCATCCCAGGCCCGCACCCTCCCTCACCTGGCCGTCCTCCCTGCACCTGGCCCTCCCACCCCTGGCCGTCCTCCTCCCTGCACCTGGCCCTCCCACCCCTGGCCACAGACCCCAGGCCCTCCCACCCCTGGCCGTCCTCCCTGCACCTGGCCCTCCCACCCCTGGCCACAGACCCCAGGCCCTCCCACCCCTGGCCGTCCTCCTCCTCCCTGCACCTGGCCCTCCCACCCCTGGCCATCCTCCTCCTCCCTGCACCTGGCCCTCCCACCCCTGGCCGTCCTCCCTGCACCTGGCCCTCCCTCCCCTGGCCGTCCTCCTCGCACCTGGCCCTCCCACCCCTGGCCACAGACCCCAGGCCCTCCCACCCCTGGCCGTCCTCCTCCTCCCTGCACCTGGCCCTCCCACCCCTGGCCATCCTCCTCCTCCCTGCACCTGGCCCTCCCACCCCTGGCCGTCCTCCCTGCACCTGGCCCTCCCACCCCTGGCCGTCCTCCTCGCACCTGGCCCTCCCACCCCTGGCCGTCCTCCTCGCACCTGGCCCTCCCACACCTGGCCACAGACCCCAGGCCCTCCCACCCCTGGCCGTCCTCCTCCCTGCACCTGGCCCTCCCACACCTGGCCGTCCTCCCTGCACCTGGCCCTCCCTCACCTGGCCGACGTGCCTATGCTGGCCTTCAGTCTTTCTGTCTCTAGGACCTGGCTTTGGGAATGTCCATGCTCCAACCCACGAGAGGGATGGAGACAGGAAACCTTCGTATGTAACTAAAGCCCAACACTTAGAGCCAACTCATGCCCAACCTCTTCCCTGCTTGGAACATGGCAGGTTGAAGCCTCGTCCTGTGGACTCAGGAGTGGACAGAAAAGGAGGCACCTCCAAGAAGAGAAGGAGCAGCACAAACGCTGCACCCTGGGGACCTTTCCTCTGTCCTCGCTGGTGGTGGCTTGGCTCCAGGAGTGGCCGTGAAGCTCGCACCATGACTCTGGGGCTCAAGGGTGCACACTGGGAGCAGCCACCTCCTGCGGCCTCCAGCCAGAGACAGCCCACCGGCCCAGCAGGAGGCAAGTTGTCCGTGTGCTTAAGCTGTGCAGTGGGTGCTTGCTGCTGAGTGAGTGTGTTAGAAGCCACTCAGCTGTGACTCCACTAGCGTGCCACCCAACTAGTGGGACACCAGCGACTGCAGCGGGGCTCACCGAGCCCCCAGCGTCCGTCCACTGTCAGCCACACCCACATCAGACAGAAGTCAGCCCTGCGAAGGAAGCCACCGTGGATGGCCTCTGAGATGGAAACAGACGCAGTGCCCAGCAGTCCCTCCCAGCTTCTCGGCCCCAGAGGGAGGACCCGAACGCTGGACGTCAGAGAAGTCACTTCACCAGTCTTCTCAGGTCAGCAGCGTGGCTGCAGCACAGAACTCAGAGATGAAGACAGAGAATGCCCGGTGAGGCCAGGAGCCCCCTACAGGGTCCCACCCAGGGCCCTGGAGGGCAGACCACCAAGTCACTGCTCTTCACACGGCGCTCAGACTCCAGGACCGCTGAGCAGGGCGCTGGAAAGGAGGGAAAGGGAGGGGCTCCTGGGACTCAGCACCTCGGGGGGGCTGGGCTGTCCTCTGCTGTGCCCGCAGGAGCGCCACTGGACTAGTGGGGGAGTAACCATGTGGGGCTCCTCACAGGGACAGCAGTGACAATGATCTTGTGAGCTCAGGGGTGACTTCCTCAACGTAGCCAATCTGGGGCCTAGAGGTGCCAGCTGACCTGGCCACAGTAGGCCAGGGACGCAGCCTAAGTCGTGCTGCACAGAGGAGCTTTTGCATTCCAGGGGGAAGATGTGGGCAGCCAAGCATGGGGCTACCAGCCTTGGTGTCTGGCTGTGACCCGATGGGCTCAGTGACACTGCTCGGCAAGGTGGCTTGCACCAATAGTTTCATTGCAACAGGGGCTCAAGCTGGGCACCAGATGGTCTGTGTCAATACCAAGGGTCCTGAAGACGAGGGTCAGCCCGGCTGTGCACACCACTGTAAGGCAGCCACGCAGCACGTGCCCGAGGGCGGCCAGCTCCTCACCAGCCCCACTGTGGGCGGTTCTGACACAAGACCAGTCCACCAACTGAAACACCTGAGCTGCTCCCAGCGGGGCCAGGGCAACGCCACATTCATGGCAGCCACAGCAAGTGCCCCCATGAGCTCCACCAACCAGGCCCGAGGAAAGGGGGCACATTCTCCCGTGGCACCCACCGCCCTGGCAAGAGGCAAGCCTGAGCCAGGAGTGCAGAACGACATGTGGACTCCGCACGGCAGGACGGGCAGAGTGGCTGTGCTAATGGGTCCCCTCTGGGGCGATGGCGTGGCTCTCTCAGCCCCCACTGGCCCTCCATCCAGCAGATCCGCGGTGCACTCCAGGACGCATTCAATATTAACTCCCACTGTTCCGAGCTGCGGAGGCTGGAAGCTATTGCTCCCCTACAGACTGGGTGAACAGCTCGCTCGCGTTAAACAGAACCTGGTGTCACTTCCCTTTGACAGAGAGTAATGCCAAACCAAGAAGTACCTCCCAGAAGGCCTGGGTCACACACAAAAACATCCCCAACAACTGACCAGCAAAACCGCCCAGCTCAGCACAAACATGCTTTTCTAATTAGTGAGAGTACCCGGCCAGGCTGGCCATGCAAGCTTGCTCCCAATCACTAATCAATAAAGAACTGAAAGAAACAGATCAATAATTCCCAGAGGACGACGCAGCGATCGGTCAGAGGACTTTGCCCTGATGGAGAACGTGAAGGATGGGGACTCACTGGCAGTAGAGTGGAGCAGGGACTGGCTCAATGGCAGGCGGGTCCTGGGACCCACAGACCTGGCACCAGTCACCTGTAAGCAAGCAAAGACACCTAGCAAGATGACACGGCCACTGACGCAGAGCTTGCAGGGCCAGCCAGCATTCTGGAAACCTGCGGGACAGCGGGAGGACAGGGCGCCAGCATCCCTGAGGCTCTGGAAACCTGCGGGACAGCGGGAGGAGTGCCCCAGGCCTTTCAGCAGCCGGCAAGGAGTTCCTCCCGACTAGGGTGCGCTGAGGCCAGCAGCCCTGGCTTCCTGGACTCCGCCAAGGCCTGTGATCTTCCTTCTCCACTGAGTTGAGAGACAGCGCCTCTCAGGAGCTGTGGGGCACGCCTGGTTCTCACGGGTCGGCAGGGCTGGTGTGGGACAGTGGGGTCTACAGCAGGCTCGGTGCTCAGGGCGCCCTTTCCTCTTGTGTGTCCAGGGACGCCCCATCTTAAGTCATGTGGGTAGCTTGCTATTCCTTTCCACTGCCTAAATTTTTAAAAGAGAAGGAAGTGAAAACTTTCAAATGATTTTAAAACCTGTACTTTAAATTTATGTCTATATAAGATTCATCTGGTCCAAATATGGCAGAGGTCTTCCCATTGGTGAAATCCGGTGGCTTGTTTCTGTTTTGTGGGAGGGAATCATTTCACAGGAGTGGGCATGTTTGGAGAAGTAGGTACAGCCCTGGTGATCAGGGCCCATGACCTCAACCCACAGGACGATGGACTGGGCATCTCTGGTCAGCTGATGCGATGACTGCCTGTTTGGGCCCCAGCTTCCTGCCGGGACCAGCCAGGGGGCGTAGACACACCCCAGACCATCACTTGCTTTTGCTCTTGCTTCTGTATCATCACTAACATAGACTCCACCGCTCACAGAGGCTGTCTTTACCGCCTGTCAGTCCGACCCGCCAAATCCAGCAACTGCGTGCCCATGAAGCACTCTGATGTCACAGATGGTGACACGTCCTCGGTACAGAGCAAGCCACAGGTGATTAAGGCAGTTATGGTTCACAAACCCTGAAGGCCAAGGGCAGGTGACGCCAGGTGGACGTCGGACTCTTGCTGCCGAGGCCCACCCAGGCAGCAGCTGGGAGGCTGTGGCCTGCAGCCCTACCTGGGAAAGGAGGCAGGGAACCCCACCTCACCAGAAGGAGGGCAGGAGAAGCTCCTCATGCCACCTCCCAGGGCAGGGAGGAGTGGTCCTGCAGGGTCTCAGGACTGTCCACTGAAACTCAGGGGCCACTGGTCCAGTCTGCCAGGGTCCCCCAGGAGTCCAAGCAAGGTCCTTGGGGCTTCGTGGTGGAGCCGTCCCTTACAGAAGCACTGCAGCCACATGTCTGGCCAGAGCTGGTGCCTGCTGACACAGAAGCCACTCTCAGTGTCGAAAGACAACGGGAGAGACTGGTGGATGTGTCCCCAGCAGTCTGCGGATGGCCTTCGAGCTCAGGCAGGGGGTGCGAGGGGAAGGCTCCCAGTGT